ATTCAATTCGGATATTTCTTCCAAATTTTATAAACGTTATGGAAGGCGATATATCATAGAGAATTTTTCGATAGTCACCTGTATGTCTCAATGGAGACACGACAGGTACCCTTACGAGGGGAGAGTATCAACCCTTGACATCGGTAAACCCTCGTTGCAACCGGGGTAGGTGCCTGACGGGTTAGGTATATACAGTGTTTCTCATTAAGGAGAAAATTGTTGACTATCTGTTGCACTCATTTTTTGAGTAATTATAGAATATGTCGCGTTTCAGCAACGGAACTCGAAAAAAAGTTTTCATATATATTTCAGTTACTTATTCCATGTAACTTTCATGCTTTCAGTTTTCTATGAATTTCAAATTTGAGATATAATACCAACTATGTTTTAGATCGAAGAAGCGACGTGTTATTAACCGACGAATAAATTGCACAGATAAGGAAACCACGCCAGAAACCAGCGATCGGAGATAAGTTTTTCATTCCTGTTACGAATTATATTCAATTCAATTCGAATATTTCTTCCAAATTTTATAACCGTTATGGAAGGCGACATATCATAGAGAATTTTTTGATAGTCACCTGTATGTCTCAATGGAGACACGACAGGTACCCTTACGAGGGGAGAGTATCAACCCTTGGCATCGGTAAACCCTCGTTGCAACCGGGGTAGGTGCCTGATGGGTTAGGTATATACAGTGTTTCTCATTAAGGAGAAAATTGTTGACTATCTGTTGCACTCATTTTTTGAGTAATAATAGAATATGTCGCGTTTCAGCAACGGAACTCGAAAAAAAGTTTTCATATATATTTCAGTTACTTATTCCATGTAACTTTCATGCTTTCAGTTTTCTATGAATTTCAAATTTGAGATATAATACCAACTATGTTTTAGATCGAAGAAGCGACGTGTTATTAACCGACGAATAAATTGCACAGAAAAGGAAACCAGGCCAGAAACCAGCGATCGGAGATAAGTTTTTCATTCCTGTTACGAATTATATTCAATTCAATTCGAATATTTCTTCCAAATTTTATAACCGTTATGGAAGGCGATATATCATAGAGAATTTTTCGATAGTCACCTGTATGTCTCAATGGAGACACGACAGGTACCCTTACGAGGGGAGAGTATCAACCCTTGACATCGGTAAACCCTCGTTGCAACCGGGGTAGGTGCCTGACGGGTTAGGTATATACAGTGTTTCTCATTAAGGAGAAAATTGTTGACTATCTGTTGCACTCATTTTTTGAGTAATTATAGAATATGTCGCGTTTCAGCAACGGAACTCGAAAAAAAGTTTTCATATATATTTCAGTTACTTATTCCATGTAACTTTCATGCTTTCAGTTTTCTATGAATTTTGAATTTGAGATATAATATCAACTATGTTTTAGATCGAAGAAGAGACGTGTTACTAACCGACGGGAAAATTGCACAGAAGAGGAAACCAGGCCAGAAACCAGCGATCGGAGATAAGTTTTTCATTCCTGTTAAGAATTATATTCAATTCAATCAGAATATTTCTTCCAAATTTTATAAACGTTATGGAAGGCGATATATCATAGAGAATTTTTCGATAGTCACCTGTATGTCTCAATGGAGACACGACAGGTACCCTTACGAGGGGAGAGTATCAACCCTTGGCATCGGTAAACCCTCGTTGCAACCGGGGTAGGTGCCTGATGGGTTAGGTATATACAGTGTTTCTCATTAAGGAGAAAATTGTTGACTATCTGTTGCACTCATTTTTTGAGTAATAATAGAATATGTCGCGTTTCAGCAACGGAACTCGAAAAAAAGTTTTCATATATATTTCAGTTTCTTATTCCATGTAACTTTCATGCTTTCAGTTTTCTATGAATTTTAAATTTGAAATATAATATCAACTATGTTTTAGATCGAAGAAGCGACGTGTTATTAACCGACGAAAAAAATTGCACAGAAGAGGAAATCAGGCCAGAAACCAGCGATCGGAGATAAGTTTTTCATTCCTGTTACGAATTATATTCGAATCATTTCGAATATTTGTTTTGTGTTTTCCTTCTTTTGGGACCTGAAGAGTCCCGATGATAAGAAGCATCTAGAGACTGGGCGCAACAAATAATCCGTGCGGAAACATCTTGATCTTGACATCTGTCACGAGTGTCATGTTTTCGGCTTATTCATAATTTTGTTCAAATATCAAATGTAAATATTATAAATTAAGAGCATTAATAGTTTATTAAGCAGGTATTTATATTACATTATTAGTTGAGTGAGTGTATTGTGCTTTCATCATGGACTAACTGCTGCTGTGTGAGGATTATTTGGAATTCCGAACATTCGTTTTATTATTATTTTATGTACCGAAAAAACACACCGTTTCCATTTGAACAAAAAATTGTGAAAATGAAAATGTGAACTCGAATTAATGTGTCATGATCCCTGTAAATTTGGTTTGAAACTTCGGAAATTTAGCAAGATTCCCCACGCCTCGCTAGTTTCACAAAGTAGGCGATATCAAGAGATTTCGAAACTTCTTTTCATAGGAAGTGTTAACGCCATTTGACTTTCTATACATCTATCCTGCAACACTGGTGTAATTCCTGTTAAAAACTTTCAATTTCACGTAGATGATTTTCTGATTTTAATATAATGTAATATCTTCTTTATATTGATTCGTCCTCTTTCCTGTCACAAAAAAAACAGTGTATTATACACGGGAAAATACATTGAGCTAAAAGCTACTACTTTTTTCCCTTGTATAATAAATAGCTATTCCAATAGGGTATACGCGTGTGAATATTTTACACTGGAATATATTTTTGTTCCATTACTCATATGTATAGATGTCGAATTATACATCCGAAAAACATTATAAAGCACCGAATATTTAATAATTTTTGATTAAAAATCATAATATTTGCAACTTTCCGACCAACAGCCGAACTGCAGCGATGATTTCCGACTGGATGAGGCTGTTTTTATTTGTCATGTCAAACATTCATGTCCGAAAGATTGAAAATAATATAAGAAGAGAAAGTGAGGTTATGATTATCTGAGCTTGTAGCTTCTATAATCTATCTCAATTATATGATCTCAATATTCTGAATAATAATAACTGAATAATAAGCAAATATCTACAATAAGAATGATCAAACAGGACTTCTTTTTGCATGTTGTTTCAAATATATATTACCACCTATCAATTTATATCTCATATAGTTTTCCATATCTTCTTCAAGCTGAAAACGAAATCACATATTATATTATTCTCCTAACAGGAGGAACATAATCATTGATATAATATAATGGGTTTCACTAGGACATACTTGAACGTATACTCACTTCGAAATGGCCTTCACAAACAACAAACAAATCCTCTGATTTTCTCGGATAAATCATTTCTATTTATGGCTTGCAACCATCATTTTTTTTTCTCTTTATTTTTATCACTCGATCCCACTGGCAATGAAAGGAATATTTTTCCTGGTGATACTTTTGTTGATGAAAGGCATTGCGACACTAAACAGTATTTGGTATAAACATTATCATTTTCCATTTTCAAATTTCTGGCGTTTACAACTGTTTTCTTCCCCTACCTCTTCTTCTTCTTTTTTTTTCAATCTGAATCGAATCTTGTCATTCTGTCGCGCTAGTCTATGGCTGTGCGGCCTAATACTATGACGTCATAATATTAGTGATGGCCACTAGGGTCCCTTGATGTAAACTGACGTATTTGTCATCTTTACAGGGTACGGACAGATCCTCGTCTCCTCTCACTCTAAAGTGTTTGTGAAACCGTTATATAGTTCCATCTTTATTCATTTCTGGGGATAAACACTAGATTTTTGGCATTTGTTGTTTTTTAGGTTATATTGAGGTCACTGGCGTATCATACGTGATTTCCATATGGAATTCCTGATTCAACTATACCAAAATATAGATGAACAATCCTCTAGTTTTTGAGTTTACTATACTCCAGCATTGACTGAATGAATTCTGATTTCAAACCGAGCAGTAGTTTATCTATGAGCTGAATGAGCTGACCCTTATGATTGAGAAATGGTGAAAACCTTGATGTGAATATCTAAACTACTGTACTCATGTAATGTGTGCTAAATATATTTTCATAAATCCAACTCAGAGAAGTATTTATGGAGTGACTAATATAAACTATGTATAAAACTTCGTCTAGGACGAAAAGTAGTCTGATAAAAAGTAATACGTAAAATGTGCAGGGAAATGAAGAATAGAATTTACTTCACTCCCATGTTATACATATGATTCTTCCGTCTTCCTCAAATAAAAAGTCATTTTCGAATAATTCATTGATGAAAGTAACGCAGTATAACTTAAAGGCACGTTATTTTCACTCTTGCATCCTACATATTTTCTATTTGTGATAGAGTAGTAATCATATACACTAATCTAATCTTGACGAAACAATCATTATCTCTTACCCCGAAAATCCCAGATATCAATTTTGAATAGAATCGGATCTTCATCACAAAACTTGTTCGCCATATGATCTTCCTCAAAAATTAAATACCCTGTAGATACCTATTATTAAAATTTCGAATGATTTTCTGTAGCGCCCATGGATGTGACGTGACAGCAATGTCAGGGATGCCAGTAGACAAAACTAAAGTCTCTAGATCATTAAAAAAGAATGCAGCTATGATCTGTCCGTACCCTGTTAAGATGACTTTAATGTCAATTTCCATCAAGGGACCCTAGATAAAACTAAAGTCTCTAGATCATTAAAAAAGAATGCAGCTATGATCTGTCCGTACCCTGTTAAGATGACTTTAACGTCAATTTCCATCAAGGGACCCTAATGGCCACTAACCCGTTTTCCTGTGACTTCATATTTAGCCTCATTTAAATGAAATTTTTTAGAGTCACAAGCAAATTTGAGATCAATGAATGATATCCAATGTTATTATGTTATAATTTCGATTAAACAAAAAATCATGCGTATTCCTTATTGTTATTTGGTCTAGATTCCCCCTCACCTGTATCGTATTGAATACCAATTCGGCGATACCCTGGCCTTCGACGTTGATCAGATGCGGCTGGAAGAGCGCCTCGGGCGCCTCGAACCTTTCCCCGCCCACTTTGATGACGCGCCCGTCGGGCAGCGTGTACGGCTCCACCAAGATGGTCGTCTCCAGAGCCAACCGCTGCTCGGTCTCGACGTCGTAGCCGATGTAGCAGAGTTTCTCTTTCATCATTCGCACCTTACGAGAAAAAAGGGAACTAGTCTCAATTCGCTCGACACTTTTGTTTTGACGTTTGAAGTACGGAAACTCGACCATTGTCGTTTCAATTGATAATCACTGACCCCTGATTTATAGATACCATAACGCATCTCTCAACGTTCCGCAATTCGTACCGTAAGAAGATGATATAAAGTAGAGTCACTGGATGGTATTAGTTTCTATTTTCCATCTACGGCTATGATCGATTTGACAGAAAATCTACCCTCTAAAATCGTATCTGACAATAAGGCGGTACAGATCGCGTGCACGATGATCGACACTGAAGGTGAAATATTGAAACACAACCTCACTTTTCTGTAAAACATTGAAACACAACCTTACTTTTTCATTTGATTATAGAGGAATCAAAGGATTGAAATAGTTTTTCACAATATCGTGGCATACGAATCCTGTTTTTTGCGCTATTCATTAATTCAAGCATGCCTTCTCATTGTGCTGTTGTACAATGCACAAGGAATATGATTTTTCAGGTAAATAGTAATCTCACATAGTGTAATTTAGAAAATATAGAAGGACAGAAGTTCAGCTGTGTCCGAACTCTTGTCTACTAATACCATCCAGTGACTCTAATATAAAGTTGGCATCAAGAAGGTTTATGGTTGGCATTTATAAATTTTCCTGAATTTGACACTCGCCAATCTTGTCATATTAATTTGTATTATTATTTTTGTTCGGACTATCAAGTATCATTTTTGGAATTAGCATTGTTTCAAAGTACGGGGATCAATCTGTTCGAAGTATTCCAATTCTACCAATGGGTGATAACCTAGATTATGAATATTTGGCACTGCTACAGCTGTATAAGGTTTCTTTCAAGCTATATTCCTATATACCTATGGATTTGAATCTTTGCAACCATCTGCTCCACCTTCAATACCTACCACACATCAAAAAGCAACAAATAGGTATCTTACATGATCTCCCCAGAAGAACAGTTTGCATCAATCACTTCATCATCAATGAATGAATAAATTGACCAGATATATTTATAATCCCTACAATATCTGTGCAATCTTCTTCTTCCAAGTAGTCTCCCTAAATTAATGGCATTGTTATTTTTGTATTACCTGTTTGACTAACATAAAATGTGATAATATTCACATAGAAAAATGGAAATGAGCATCTCTTGCGTTGCAGCCATGATCAGTATTTTGCGGAACGACATTCTATAAGCAGTACTGGAAAAATCCTGTTTTATATTCTATCGTGCAACAGAAGTACTTGCGTTACGTTATTGAATCTATAAATCAGGGGTTAAGGTATTAAGGTACTTGGAAAGGTTTTTTTTTTCATCTCTAAGTCCCACGCATTTTCACTTACAGTCTCAAAATCAGCGGAATGGTTGAAAGCGTACCCTCTGAGCAAGAGTAATTTGATGAGGTACCGGGTGATGTCTCTGCCGGCGATATCCAACCGCCTGGTGAGATGAGGTAGAGCGTATTCCTCGTAGACTGGACAGATGTGGGTCACTCCGTCTCCCGAATCCACTACGACACCAGACAAGAGACCCTATAAATATTTATTCTCGAAAAAAAACTCGCAAAAATACTGGTGAAAGTAGCGAAGTTAAGGCACTACCGAAAATTCACTTCAAGTGAAGTAACGCTCGATCTCTTACGGTTTCAAAGACGATCTTGACACATACTTGATTTATTTTGCCCTCTACACGGTGGATGGAACAATACAATGATTATACGACTACAGAAGGTTAGTTTATTAGATATACGATAACTCGTCAGACAGTCCAGATATTTAGCCGTCATTGCTTTTATAAAAACATACTTAGGTACTCAAAACATCACAAAAATATACACAGTTTGTACTTCCATCCCAATAATAATTTCTTCTCGAAAATATATTTAGATAATATAAAGGTCAGAAAAGTATTTCAGGTCTACTCAAATTTCGAAATGTATTTATTACAAGCATAAGCAGGGAGTGTTATCAAATATAATAGGTATACCTAATACCCTGGGCATGAGTAGGTACAATTAATATACCTATCTGAATATTTTGTATTCGTTCATTTGACACCATTTAGTATCCAAATCTTTACTTTGGTCATAAGGTGTATTAATTAATTCCTTGATAAGTTCATTTGAAATAGCTGCTAGTAGTAAAGCAAAGAGATATTCAACTCACATAGGGCGTTACGTGTTGGTGTCAAATCACTGATCTGGAATTCCCAACAGGTAAAAAAAAATATGTGAGTCTGTTTGTTATGAACTGCCGAGCGTACGAAATCATATAGGGCCTTACTTGTTAATATTTCCAAATCAAGATTTGGAAATCGCAATAGGTGAAACCGTATGTGAGTTGAAATTATGCTTTTTGACGAAATGGTAACTGTCTGTTATGAAATGCGAACGTACGGTTTCACCTATTGGGATTGATTTGGAATTCGCAACAGGTGAAGTCCTATGTGATTTCGTACGCTCGGCAGTTCATAAAAGAAATATGTATACAATACCAACTCACATATGGCTTTACCTGTTGGGAATTCCAGATCAGTGATTTGAAATTACCAACACGTAACGCCCTATGTGATTCGAATCTCTCTTTGCTTTACTACTGATGCTAGAAATAAATCAGTAACTCTTTCGCCCACACGGCCGTTTACTATGATTTGCAATAGACATTTTTGAATTCAAATCCGTTGCCTACGTCATCGAGGCCACGCCCCCAGCCGACAAAACAGCTCGAATAAACTATCCTTCTGTAGTCGTATAATCCTTGGGAACAATAGAGGTATCTGATAGTGACAGGGTACTCAAGTACAAGGAATAGGTAAGTATTTTTGGTGCCTTTCAATATTTTTCCTTTAAAAATCAATTGGACCACTTTGACTACGATTATTTACCTACTTCAAAAGTGCAAAACGCAGTTGAGTTGTAGCACAGGTTCTAGTTTACTGATAAAAGCCAGCAAGCTGATTATTCGGTATTCGAAATAATAGTTGGTTTGGGGTTTGGTATTATTATAATTGTTTCTCATATAGATTGTAGAGCTAGGTTATGACACGATAGGTCGTCGTTTATTATTCTTTGTACTCAATACTACAAATCTAAAATAAAAAAACTGGATATTAGTCTCTTCAAGGAGTTTATTTGCCTCTCTGGTAAATATTTAATATCTATATATACGAATTTTGAAACAGTACTTTTACCCAATGATTGAATGAAAAACAAAACATTTTTATTTATAAATTGCAACCTTGTTATTTCAAACGGAATACCCTGTATTTCATTGCATTTTTAGATTATCCCTGAGAGGCTGATTTCATCAATGAGCCTTGGAGTCTAGCGGGAATGATTACAGAGATAAAGAATGTTCGAGGTTTTTCAACTTTAGGATTTTTTGTGTTGTAACTATTCATTATCGGTCAAATCGAATTTTATACCCCTATCTCATTTTGAATCTACTATCTACTGACATTTAATTGAAACAGACACAGGGTGATCAAAATTCTGAATCTTGAGCCAGCCTGTATTTGTTCCAATTAAATGTCAGTAGCTGAAATCAGCCCACAAATTTTCGAAATGATCTGTAGTTCAGTTCTTCAGATATGTCTAATGTTCCATCCACCGTAAAACACCTTGTATAAATGAGAATACTCACAATCAATAGATTCATGAAGGAAATACTATCCAGTTAATGATAAAGCAACTAGTAATTTTTCCACATAGTAGGAAAGCAATAAATCGTTATTTATGAATGTTTATAGCCAGGCCATTCCTGTTATTCCCAGATTTACTTCGACATCTGGCAACTATGCTTCACTCACTGTTGTGTTGTTGATGATGATGCTTGCTTATTAGGATCACTGTGCTAGCAACTAATGATAACGGGGTGGGCACGTTTTGACCGATTTTGATATTTCGCGAGTTTATGGGGGATTTTCTGAACCATATTAATAGTATTGATACAGCAGCTTGTAACAAATCAATGTCGCCGCCCATGCTCTCTTCTAAATATAATCAAATATTCTTTAGGAGGCTAGGCAACCCATCTTTCATTAATACAGATTCAAAATCCGTGCGCGCACCTAGGTCGGTTATGGTTAGGAGGGGATTTCCGATGTCTTGCGCTGGTCATTTGACTCTTGAACCAAGTGAAGAATTTAACATCCACGTCGATCGAGCCCAAATTTGGTGTTTTTGGTTTTGTATGTGCCCAATGTTCCTTTGGAACATCTTGGCCTGTGCCTGCATTTCATATTTAGGTGGGTAAATAGTTATTCCAGCTAAGGCAGTCAATCTACTTTGCTGCCGAGTTGAACATATAATTTTTTCTCCGATTGTTCATAATGATATGGGAGAATATTGTATTTGCGAATTAATACAATTCCCACAATCTCTTTATTCTTCCTGTATAGTGTTCTATTAAAATAAAATTTGATAGAAATCGCAGTTGTTGGTTTGACAATTCATGAAATTTCTGACAGTTGTGCGGAAAAATATCGGTATATTTAAATTATTATATAATGGACAGTGATAGCGACCTGGAAGTATACTTATACACCTCCATTAATAAGGGAGGTGGCAAAAAATATAGAGTTGAATTTGTTGCCGGAGAAGTCTTGGATATAATATGAAGGAAATTATGAACGATTTATGGATTTTTAATTTTGCTGATACATATCAATCAGCAAAGTAACCACTTTGCTGCCTAGGCAGGAAAAGTAATACTTTGCTGATCGATATGTGTCAGCAAAATTACTTTACTTTATGATTGTTTATTCGATCCCTTCAGGTCACATGTTAATTATACCTACTTTTCTTTACTTATTTGTATAATTGCTTCACCTCTTATATTATGTAATGTACTGTACGTCCTAGGGCTCATTAGCGCATTTCATATTTAGGTTTTCGACGTTTCGCTCAACCACGTGATTTTGGTGAACTTAAGAAGCAAATAAATAGTCTCCTGAACCATCAGCATTTCTATCAGCAAACCCACCAAACCCCTGAGACTGTTACAAGCTTGTCTTTTATGATATCATTTCTTGTCTTAATTTTCAATGATTTATCTTCAGTTATCTATTTTGAAAGCGCCATTTTCAAACATCCTGTATGTAACAATAAAAAAAGTATGAACAATATTGTAGATTTCAATAAAATGCAAATACTTATTTATCATACAAGGAAAAAAGTTGTAGATTTTAGCTCCAGGTTGTAGGAGACAAAAAACCGTGAGCTAAAATCTAATATTATTCCTGTGTATAATTCACTATTCTTTTTTGTGACAGAAGAACGGACGAATCAATATTGAGAAGATATTACATTATTTTGAAATCTGAAAATTATTGACCTGAAATTTTGAGTTTTTAACAGTAGTCATCTTTATCATTCTCTTGAAGTAATCAAATATCTGATGTCACTTCTGTCAGTCTAATTCAGTGATTTGATTTCAAAAAATTGCGAATTCAGTGGTTGTTTAGTAATATAATATGTAACCACGAAGTCTAATGGAAGATAAAAGGACTTGCAGTTCTTTCTCGGAGACGGTATTATTGACTCATTTTTCGGAACTATAGCACAACAAAAGCCATCAACAGTGTATATACAGGGTCGCTGATATGTATGGAAACAGGTGAATATCTCGGTAACCTGTTGTTGGATTTTTTTGAATTTATGTACTGTGTGATTTCAAAACGTGGCAGATTTGAAAATGTTATAGCCAATGTTGCCACTTTTTCAGTTATACCGGATTTTTTATTGACTTCCTTATTTTGAATAGAACACCCTGTAATTTATTGGATTTTTAGATTCTCCCTGAAGAGCTAATTCCATCAATCTATCACACTTGGGGTCTAGCAGGAATGAATACATAGGTATAGGGTGTTTAAAATCTAGATTTTTCAACTTCAAAATCGCTTCAATGTTCCCATCTTTACTTCTGATTTACTATCTACTGACATTTAATTGAAACAAATACAGGGTGGTTCAAGATTCAGAATTCTGATCACCCTCTGTATCTGTTCCAATTAAATAGTCAGTAGATGGTAAATCAAAAGTGAAGATAGGAACATTGAAGCGGTTTTGATCGATAATGGATAGTTTCTACACAAAAAAATCTTGAAGTTGAAAAACCTAGATTTTAAACACCCTATACCTGTAATCATTCCCGCTCGACCCCAAGTGTGATAAATCGATGGAATCAGCTCTTCAAGAAGAATCTGGAAATCCAATAAAGTACAGGGTGTTTCATTCAGAATGAGGAAGTTACTAAAAATCCGGAATAACTGAAAAAGTGGCAACAGAGGCTATAACATTTTCAAATCCGCCACGTTTTGAAATCACACTGTACATAAATTCAAAAAAATCTAACAACAGATTGCCGAGATATTCACCTGTTTCCATACATATCAGCGACCCTGTATATGTGATATATATCCGGGAAAAAAGTACTCACTTTTTTCCCACGGGAAAAAAGTAATTTATGAACACATTATGACATTTTATAACCTGCCAACAGAGATGAAATGCCAAACTTTTTTCCCGTCACAGAAAAAATAGTTATTTATTATAGAAGGGAAAAAAGTAGTAGATTTTAGCTCCAGGTTGTGTTGTCTCCCGACGCGTAGCGGAGGGAGACAAAAAACCGTGAGCATCTAATATTTTTCCCGTGTGTAATACACTATTTTTTTCTGTGACAGGAGAAAGAACGAATCAATATTGAGAAGATATTACATTATTTTGAAATCTGAAAATTATCGACGTGAAATTTTAAGTTTTTAACAGTAGGGTCACCGCGTTGTAGGCATCTTTATCATTCATTTGAAGTAATCAAATATCTGATGTCACTTCTGTCAGTCTAATTCTGTAATTTGATTTCAAAAAATTGCGAATTTTGTGATTGTTTAGTAATATTCATAACCGCGAAGTCGAGTGGAAGATAAAAGGACTTGCAGTTCTTTCTCGGAGACGGTATTATTCAATCATTTTTCTGAACTATAGCACAACAAAAGCGATCAACACTGTGTATATATATGTAATATATATCCGGGAAAAAAGTACTCACTTTTTTCCCACGGGAGAAAAGTAATTTATGAAAAGTGACATTTTATAACCTGCCAACAGAGATGAAATGCCAAACTTTTTTCCCGTCACAGAAAAAATATTTTTTGTTGAATGAATGTAAAGTCTAATCCATATTGTGAATCACTCACCTGAGCATAAAGTGTCAGCACAGCCTGAATAGCAACATAAGCACCTGCGAATCCATACTTCTCGAACATAACTTCGATCATCTTCTCCCGATTTTTCGTTGGATTCATAGGTGGTTCAGTCAATAATATCTACAAAACCAAATGTCCAAGAAACAAATTTCAGTGATTGCATTCCCATGATGGCACAGGAATTGTATCATTCAGCAAACTTACTTTGGTTTCACTGGGATTCAAATCCATTTTTTGAGGACCGAAAGTATAGTCCCACACATGGCACATGTCTTCCCAATTTCGAACCACTCCATTCTCCATGGGATAATTGACTTCCAGAAGGGATCTCAAAGCAGAAGCTTCATCTCCAACCATCAAATCCTGAACAATAACATTATACAGGATGGACAAATGGCAAACTTGATACTCAAACACAACACTCTGTATTCAACACTTGAAAATTCCTCTCAGGATTTCTATTCAATTGCATATCATTTCATAGTGATAAGTATGAGAAATAGATTATAACATGAGTCAATAATTATAGCTACTATGCTCCAGGAATGTTCTCTGAGAGAATAACATACATTATTGTGAGTAGTATAATCTACTATTATTTGTGACTAATAATAATTGGATGTTATGACAAGGGATAATTAGTCCTCCCTCATTTCCTCTTGCACTTCATCAATCCCTAAGGAAATAATATGATATTATTGAGGATATTATAATGTAAAAACCACAAGAACACTCTTACATCATACAGTGTGGAGACCTATGATGGAATAGAATAATTTGTATCTACATAACAGGAATATTATTCGAAAAATGCTCAGATAGGTCGATTATTTGTTTTTGAAGATATACAGGGTGATTCACATAAGAACCGACATAGAGCAGGGGCATGTAGGGGGTCCCAAAATATGGCAATTTAACGCAACTTACCTCTATACCAAGTTGCTTCTCTAAGGAGTAATAGGCTTAGAAAGTGAAGTCATAAATTTTGAAAAAAATCAATATCTCCGTTATTCTTGAACTTGAAGCAACCAAATTTGGTACACTTTGTGGATGTATTTAGGGCGTTACTTGACAGTAACTAGAGTTCAATTGAAATTTGTAAAGGGGGTATACCGGGTGGCGCACTATTAATATTCAACAGAATTTTGTTAACCCTTGATGGATTTCAAAAATATTTGCTTTGTTTTGTGGGCAATTCAATTCTAAAACTTTACTTAGTCTAGTAATTTCTCGAAAAACCTCATCATTTTCATCAAAAACTCGAATAACTGAAAAAGCGTGCTCTAGGTGTGTTATTTAAAATCATCGAAAATTCAAAAGTTGGCTATGAAAATAAACGTCAAACTTGACAATGAAGCAAGTAAGTTGTTCAATTAAGTAATTTATCGATGAACAATTGTTTGTTCTGGTTGTTGTTCAAGTTTTTTGTGTTTATTTTGGTTAGTTGTTAATCCCAGTTTTTCACATTTCAGTATCTGTACTTACTTTACGTATTTTGTTACGTATCTAAATAATAATTTGCCAGCCAATTTCTACTGATCACAATTAATGATCTACTTTCTTGGTGTACGTTTATTTTCATTGCCAACTTTTGAATTTTCGATGATTTTAAATAACACACCTAGAGCGCGCATTTTCAGTTATTCGAGTTTTTGATGAAAATGATGAGGTTTTTCGAAAAATTACTGGAGTAAGAAAAGTTTTAGAATTGGATTGCCCACACAACAAAGCGAAGATTTTTGAAATCCATCAAGGGTTAACAAAATTCTGTTGAATATTAATAGTGCGCCACCCGGTATACCCCCTTTACAAATTTCAATTAAGCTCTAGTTACTGTCAAGTAACGCCCTAAATACATCCACAAAGTGTACCAAATTGTCCAAATTTGGTTGCTTTAAGTTCAAGAATAACGGAGATATTGATTTTTTTCAACATTTATAACTTTACTTTCAAAGCCTATAACTCCTTAGGGAAGCAACTTGGTATAGAGGTAAGTTGCGTTAAATTGCCATATTTTGGGACCTCCTACATGCCCCTGCTCTATGTCGGTTCTTATGTGAATCACCCTGTATGTTTCATCTATACTAATATTATAAAAGAGGAAAGATTTGATTGTTTGTTTGTATGTATTGAATAGGCTCCGAAACTACTGGATCGATTTGGCTGAAAATTGGTGGGGAGGTAGTTTAGAACCAGGGGCAGGTTATAGGATACTTTTCATCACGGTACCTACCATAAGGAATTTCAAGATGGCGGATCTAATATATCGGACGAGTTTTGTAATTAGGGTCCGATTCTATTAAAAATTGATATCTGTGGGTTTTTGGGGTCGAAGATTATGATTCTTTCGTCAAAATTTGAAAATTTGGGCGGAGTTTGGAAATTCAAGATGGCGGAACCAATATGGCGGACGAGTTTTGTAATTATAATCCGATTCTTTTCAAAATTGGTACCTAGGGGTTCTCGTGATCGGGGATTATGATTCCTTCTTCAAAATTTGGGAATTCAAGATGGCGGATCCAAAATGGCGGATTTTGTGATTATTATCCGATTTTATTCAAATTTGGTATCTGGGGGTTCTCGGGGTCGGAGATTATGATTCTTTCGTCAAAAGTAGGAAATTCAAGATGGCGAACGAGTATTGTAATTAATATGATCCGACTCTCTTCCAAATTATTATCTGGGTGTTTTCGGGGTCGGAAATTATGATTCATTTGTTAAAATTTGGGAATTCAAGATGGTAGATCCAATATTTCGGACGAGTTTCGAAATTATGTTCCGATTATATTCAAAATTTGCATCTGGGGTTTTCGTAGTCGGATATTATGATTCTTTCGTCAAAATTGGGAAATTCAAGTGTTCTGAAAAGAAATTGAAATAAATGGTAGTTTGAAAAACTAAAGAAACACGCTTTTATATATAGAAAAATATAAAAGAAGTAGAAAATAAAAAAACAATAGTGTCTTGGTCTTGATGAATATTGAACTGTAAAAATATGTTATCGAAATAATGTATATAGCAAAACAACATTTGCGAGGTCTGATAGTTTCCTATAACTTTACAGATAAAGATAGATATTCAAAAATTAAAATTGACCTGTCTGAGGATTCTTCAAAACATATCTGTTATGGATATTTACATAGATTTTATTCCACACTGTATATCAATCCTGAATAAGAGTAGAAATGAGTGGAGTTAGTGAACATTTCAGAGAAAATAATTCTGTAATAATTACACTTTGCCAGAGATATTTCATTTATATTTTTTCCGCAAGTATATACAGAGTTTTGCATTCAGTTTGCTATATTGCAGGAGTTAGTTTGAACATTACCATAAAAGGTGTTTTGTTGGGATATATGTCAACAGTAGATTCAGGTTACCGAATATACCATGAATTTTTGCTCATTTCCTCAGAGGTCATAAATAAGAAGCAACCCACTGAATTTTGCTTAACTTTGATACAAATATTCTTCTTCCACTACCCAAGGCTATGAACTTACTAGCCAGGAAAATGCAGGTCCAAATTTACAAAAATCAATAATTCTCCTGTGATACTGTGTAATATCAAATTATCAAAATTCACTTTCAAACTTGATGAAAGCACAAGAAATAGAATCAGTGTTTTTTTGATTTCATCTTACACAATTTCACTTTTATTATGAACTTAAATGTTGGTTAATAATTGAATATTTTGGATTTTCCATATTGTATTATAAAAATATTTTGGATTCCTTGAGACCCTTTCATTATCGGGAAATCTATTGTATAATGAATTCATCATTGAAATGAAATACCATCAGAAACTTTTTACTGAAGATAATGAAAAGACTGGTGAAAAGGCATGCTTGATGGCAATGGTATTTTCTCAAAAAATAAAATCCATTTTCAGGTAGTGAAATAGCTCCTAAAATAGTATGCAGAAATATCACAAGAACACTATTTTCTATGCATTTCAAAATATGAAAGAAAACTTTGAAAATTCTATAATGCATGGCAGGTGTAATAAAACAATAATTTATTGAATTGTTTCAAATCCGGACCTGGATTTCTTCTGACTGATAAATTAGTCATCTGGGTAGGGAATGGAAAACATTGTTTGTACCAGATGTCAGAAAAATATACTGGGTGTTTCATTAGTTGTGCCTCTCTGAAGAAATGACCAAACCAACAATCAGCTTATGAACATGAACACTGTTTGATTAACATTCATGGTATATTAAGAATCACCCTTAAAACCTCTATTTACTGTTGAGACATGTCCATTCCCCAATGAAACACCCTATATATAGTAAATGTTTTGTTCCCCTATTTTTCTTCCTATTACTTACAGGAAGTGTGCTTGCAACTCCCTGAGGCATGAAAAAATTATCAAATGAAAAAACGGGAATGCTCTAATTTCATTAGGAAATTAGGGGGAATTATAGTAACTCAGTTAGTAACCATTAGTAAACTCCACAATACACAATATGTTTGTCACAGATTGATTTGAGTTTCAGTGATCTGTGTGTTTGTATTAATTATTGTTAGTGGTAAAATAATTGGTCAAGAAACAAACATTAAGTAAATTCAATATTTTGCAACCATTGAAAACTAACCTAATTTTGATTTTTAAAATATAGGTAGGTATGAAAAAATCAGTATAGTGTTCTGAATTCTTTGATGAATATAATAAATCAGTAAAAATTATTTCTAGTGTTCTGATTTCTTTGATAAATATAATAAATCAGTAAAAATTATTTCTATGAGGTAGTACCCTTATAAATAAAACAAATTCCAGTTTCATCAAACTCATAAATAATCTCACATATTGATATTAATCATTTAATGAACAAAAATAGATGACATTAATTTTTGTATACCCTATGAAAAAAAAAGGGATGTTAATAATATACAACCACAGTTGAGGATTACTGAAAACATGCTGGTAAATAGGACAATAAGAATATCTATATATTTATTATTGTGAGCAATGAAATACCAAATAATACAATGAAAACACAAAACAAACACAGTAGACTTACTTCTACATGTAAACCCTAAAAAGATAAAAACAATACATAAATACAGACAGTTTCTTGTGATTCAACTATAAGTTTGTTGGTTGCAATATAAGATATAGGTCATAAACACAGATTTTTGTTAATCTGTGGTAATAAAGATCTATGGTAATAATAATTATACAGAAAAAACATTGTATTCAACTTACCTTAACCTCTATATCTCCTATCTTGTTCACAGCTCTAATAATTGGTCTTCCGACCATCGAAGGGAATATGTGAGCAGGAAAATTACTGCCGGCATATCCGCATTTGACAAACTAGAGAAAACGAAACAAGTGTTATCAGAAAAATATGAGTCAGTATTGGTAATATTGGTATTGGTTTTTGGCTGAAAACTACTTACACCTGTACCGTTATCACAGACAATAACTTTTCTGCCTTGGCTGTCCATTATTGTTCCTACAAAAATTAAAAACTAATAAAAACTATACTATCATTCAAAAATTGGACAATTTTGATTTTGAATCGTCTATTTTTCACTTAAACGGCACACCTCCGTGCACCTCCCTTGTCCAACTGACAGGTACGTCAATTTGACATAGAGACATTGCAGTCTAAAAAAAGAAGAAGCTGGCAAAGGTCAAAAGGAAGTAAAGGGAGTAAAGAGTAAAGGTCCATAGTGCAGTCCAACAGTGACACACGTTTGACTTTGACACATGATCCTTTTGCTTTTGACAGTTTGTTTGGTTTTTGGCAGTTTTTGGTTTGGTTCGGTTTGGTGTTTATGCTGTTGCTACTTGGTAGATCGTATTCAGAAATTATTAAAACTTTTTCATTATCAGTGAAATTATTCATAGTGTAAAATGGTTAAACGTAAAAATACAGCACTAATAGACAGTGATTCAAGCAATGATTCAGATCCCAGCGATTCGGTGAGTAGAAACAGTAATTTTCTTGATACTCAACATAACCTTCATCACTCGATTTTCGAAACCAAATTACTTTTGACTTCATTTCATTGTCAGATTGTAATATTAATATTTCAGTTCCAAAATGATCAAGGAGTCAATCAATGTTCGTATCCAACATTTAGGTTCATCAGTTTTTGAAAATGTGTGATTTTCAGGAATTCTTGAACCTAGCGAAAAATAAGAGCAGGAAGAAGCGTTCACCCAAAGAAAAATATTCATCTGGATCAGATTCAGATACCTCTACCCAAAGCAACAAGAAAAAATTGAAAAGAGACTCAATTTCCTCTGAGTCAGAGAATGGGGAATTAACTAAAGAAGAGGAGAAACATTCAGAACCAGAAGAAGGAGAAGTTTCTGATTCTAGTAGTTCAGAGGAGGAATTCAATGATGGTTATGATGATCAACTTATGGGTGATGAAGAAGATAGGGCTAGACTGGCAGGTCTTACAGAAAAAGAAAGAGAAACTGAAATATTCAAAAGAATTGAACAAAGAGAAATGATGAAAACTAGGTAATCCACAATGGAATCTTTTATTTGAAGGGTTTCATTTAGTATATTTTTTCACAGGTTTGAGATTGAGAAGAAACTTAGACAAGCAAAGAAAGCAGAACGTGCCAAAGATAAACCTTCCAAACCAAAAGAGAAAGATAAAGATAAAGAGTTTGCCAACAAGCTTCAGAATGACTTCAGTTCCATTGACCACAAAGAACGTAGTAAAGAACGCAAGAAAAACATTGAAGAGAATAGGGGAAAGGTTGAAAATAAGAGGTTCAATGCAATGGCAGAGTTGAAGGCAAGAAGAGAAGGAAAAATCAAGAGGGAAGAGGCAGAGGAAGAAAGGAAGAAGAAGGAGGAGCAGAAAAAGAAGGATGAGGAGGAACAAATTTTGTCCAAGAAGAATGAAATGAAATTGAAGGCTTCTGATATTTATTCTGATGATAGTGAAGATGATGGTGAGTATTTCTTTCATGTACTTATTTTTTCATCAACTTCTGCACTGATTTCCATTTTAGTCTTAATGTTTCCAGGATTTTTATCAAGTTTACATTAATTAGACAAGTCTATTTTATGTTTTCAAATTCATGCAGGACCAATATATGAATGATTCTCATTTAATTTTTACCATTTATATCAGCTCTATAAACAGAGAATCTGAATAAGTGAATGTAAGCTGGTAGATATGTAGATTTGATGAGAACTATTGAGAACTCATTACTGAATCAATATAAAAGTAAATTCTTTTGTACTGTATGTAACTGTGAATAAGTGATATAGGAATCCACTTATTTAATTTATATAGAACCTATGTGACTGTGATTTTCAATGTTTTCTCACTGTTTCCTATTTTCAGGGTAGTTTAGCAATTTCATACATATAAATGATTTGAAATTACTGAAGCACTTCCATAATATATTTTCATTTAGGCAGGATCATTCTTACTATTTCAAGGGTATCATTGACTTCCTTTATTCAGTAAAAATGAATATGTGCATGTAAATATCAATTTTGAATTAGCCAAGAAGGTTATCATCTGACTTTGTGATGGTATAAACATGTCTAACTTGATATTTCACATCCTGTAGGAGGAGGGTCAAAAATTTGCATGGATTTGCAGAATAATGAAACAACTGCTGAGGAATATAAGAGCTCCTAAACTTTTTTACAGGAAGTTATTGCAGTATTATGGCATATATTTCAAATTATGTGATTTAAGTATAGGGAATTTAATAAGAATCGGGGGGGGGGGGAAGGTTATTTTTATTATAGCCCTGGAGCCAGTGACTTTTTCAATGTCTTATCTGGTTAATTTTTTATAAGTTGTAATGATATAGCATATCAAAAACATCCACTCCTGCCACCTCAATCTAGGGACAACGCTCATCAGCTTATTAATGTTATAAAAAACAAGTAAATGTCATTTTCACTTCATTGGACATGAAAAGTTCAGTTCTTGTATTGAATTGCATCATTTTGTGACTTGAAGTTTGGGAAATATTCAAGAAATATCTTCAGGAACCCTCTTTCAGGGAGCCCTAGCTCCCTCTTCTAGAATACTGTTCCCACATATGGGGTTCAGCACCAAAACATACGCTGATGCTCTTAGATTCCATCCAGAGAAGAGCCATTCGCCTGGTGAGTGACGCCACACTCACTCATTCTTTGACATCATTGGAACACCGTAGAAAGGTCGGCGACCTTTCACTTTTCTACCGATACTTCCACGGGAGATGTGCTTCGGAAATCTCTGCTATCATCCCTTCACTAGCAATACCAATCAGACGAACTAGACAAGCCCAGTCAGCACATCATTTTGTTGTCAACCTCGAAAGATGTCGAACAGCACTTTATCAAAACTCCTTTATCCATAGAACGGCTAGGCTCTGGAATTCATTGCCTGTGGAAGTATTCCCAACAAAATATAATCTCCAAAAGTTCAAAAAAAATTCCAATACCTACCTCCTGTCCCTATCCTCCCTAGGAACGCACGATGTTGTTTGAACATTATAGGGATTACCTTTCGTGCGCTCCAACCGATAAAAAAAAAACGGACGTACATGACATAATCTGCACACTTTTCACTTGACACAAATAGCATTTCCAGCATATATTCGAGAATGTCCACCGAATTGATTTCAACAAGCACCATCGTTCAAAAACCAATCTAACCACTTAAATGTCGAAATAAAAATGAAATACACTTGATAAAAACAGCATTTGATAGAAAATTCAACGGTGCTACGCTCAAGTTAGGTCAGTACGTTTGTGAAGATATGATCCTTCTTCATATATTTGAGAAGAAGGAGCTAGATGGAAATCGAATCTTATGAATTCAGTGATACCACATACTTCTAGCTCCTGCTTCTCAAATATATGAGGAAGGATCATATCTTCACAAACAAACTGACCTAACTTGAGCGTAGCCCCGTTGAATTTTCTATCAAATGCTGTTTCTATCAAGTGTATTTTCTATCAAATGTATTTTCTATCATAAAACATTCGATCAAATGTATTTTCGGTGAAGAGTTCTTTCTATTTTTTGATTTTCGATCAAAAGAATTCTATCAAATGTTTTTCTATCATTTGTCTCTCTATCAAATTTCCGCCACCCGATATTTGTCCACTATAACCCCAAAACAGCTGTCATCTGTACCCACCATGAGCGAGTATCGGAAAGAACCTTATTCCAATTCAGAACCAACAAAAAACGAAAATCTTGCAGATGTGGAAATTCATTTCGAACATATTTTGAAAGAATATGACTTGAGAATCGAATTTTTAGAGCAGGAATATTAAAAAAATCCAAGGTTTACGAGTGGAAGAGAGTGAGGAATTCATGTGGCTTTCTCATAGGTGGCAAAAGCCCGTCTCCCCCACCGAAGGCGGCGGCCGCCCCCGCGGCCTCCGTGCGCTCGCGGTCCCGCTCCTCGTCGAGCTCCTCCTCCAGCGACGGCGACGACAACGAGGAGGCGGTCGAGGCGAAGAAGCAGCCCGCCTATCTGCCCTCTCGACACGACCTCAACACCATCCGGCTGTCCAGGCACAAGCTGGAAAGGTGAGACTATTGGATGAGCGAATTTCCAACATTTTTTTCTCTTTTTTGATAATGGGACTCAGCACAGTATATTATCCTTTCACGAGACAGTAATTGCGTTTTATTCATCCGATTTCGCCACTGGAATCACTTTAACGTGTCGTTTTATTTGCAACTATTCGCGAGATTCACGAAGTGGGTTACATAATACGAACTTCAAACTGGGGGAAAACAAACTGTTGTCTACGGATAGAGTGCATAGACTACATTGCATTCAGCTTTCTGTAGCTGTAGTCAAACTTGTCAATGACATGAAGTATGAAGTGTTGGCACTGTTGGTAGTGATGATGGTTGAGTTGGTTGATTTTTTACATTATTACATTTTTATTAGTTTAGTGAACAGTGAAGGGGTGAAGAATTGGAGATAGTTCAAACAATTTAAACTAATTATGACGAGAAAATCAATTGACATATAAAAGAACAGCTACAACATGTTTACAATACCCAGATTGTCCTGCTTTGCAGAAACAAATACAAATCCATTGTTCTACAGAGTTCCTCTGGACCCCTAACTTCAATTTTACTTCATGTGGGGGAGATTTCATCGCCGAAGTTTGTAGACAAAGTGCCAAAATGTGCCTTTTGATGAAGTCTTCTGCCCCACACAAAATCACATGATTAGCACAGAGAACTGCTTCTCCGTCTATTACTGGTCGGTTTTTTTTATCTAAATAGAGCAATATATCTGCCAAATGAACATCTACAACAGGCATTATCAGCGTTTTCGATCGAATATTGACAATTAATGTCAAGAAATTTAAAAACTTATCACTCTAATCAGTACACAGTACACAAAATATGGCACTAATGGGATTGAGTGAGGATTGAGTTTGTTTTCCCCCAGTTTTGACGTGGCTTCGACATGGAACGATGAAAACCAAGCGCCACCTGGTAACATTGATTCCCGCGTCCGGTTGCTACTTTTCATTCCGTCTCACTACAAGGAATGACGTGGAATGGCTGTTGATAGTTGTCAAAAAATGAAATTAGGTTGACGAAAAATGAAACTTTATGAGAGTAGAAGACATTTTCATTGTGAGGTTCACAAGTTTATGATCTTTTCCAATAATAAAAAATCAATGTGATTTCATGTGATAAAAGTGAGGATAAAGTAAAAACCGAATAGTTATCGTTTGTATTCGCTTGTAACGCCTTCGGTTCAATACGATTTGCGTTTAGCGCCAGCGTAGCAAGACGTAAACATACGTAAGACGTATCTCCTGGCGTAGGAAATTCGCATGCTTAGATGTCAAATTCTACGTTTACGCTTACGCATTCTGCATTGCTTTAACTCCCTAATAATTTCTGTAATAATATGGACGTAGGGTCTATATTCGACGTACTCGCAAGGTATGGTTGTTTGAACAATCTACTTATACACCTTTGCACTTTTGCCACTAGATGGCTCTTAGGACTAGATCGTCCTCCTACTCTTCGGGGCATTTGATTGACTTCCTCATTTATGACAATTTCAGGTTTGTGCACATGCCTTTCTTCGATAGAATCGCCAAGGGCTGCTACGTCAAGGTCGGCATCGGGCAGCACAACAACATGCCCGTGTACAGGGTAGCCGAAGTCGTGGGGGTGTACGAGACTGCCAAAATTTATAATTTGGGAAGTACCAAAACGAATAAAGTAAGTCAGCGATGCGGAAGATTATTCGAGTAAATTTCTAGAAACATATGATAATTGTTTTATTAATACAGGGTGACTCCCGGTCGATGGTAGGTTAGACGTTTATGGAGAATGCAACGAAGGATTTTTCTGAAAATTTAGCATCTTACATTTTATCACCTGTTCTATGGTTCTGAAATAATTTCTTCAAATGGATCACACTGTATATTGTTGCAATTTTAGATTTTCTCCAAAGCTGATTGCGGCAGATAGTTAAGTATTAATATTTATTTATTTATTTATTTCAACGGTTACACCATTTTTATATAAAAAAAATTACAACAAAAATATGAATAACAATAGTAGGAGCAATGAAAATTACACTCATAGAAATGTAGCACTTATTATATTAATCAGGTATTCCTAATTGTTTTCAATGATTTTGAAGAACAACATAATTCCTTTGTAGCCTTGAAATAGGGTTATTGTTGCCATAATTCGTTGAGTGAAAAGTCAAGGAAAATAAAGGAGGATTTCTTGTTCTGGTCAATGTATTAAATTTAATCAAACGAAGCAGATCTGGAGAATGGACCAATTTATATAGGAAACACATATCCAACACTAATCTACGATTTTCTAAAGTTAGTAGATTAAGCTCCATTAAGATATCTGGGTAGTTGTTCTCAGGAACCTTTTCTGAATTCGCTCTAAACTATCAGTATGTATTTGATAAAAAGGCCTCCAAATGATGGAACCATACTCAAGTGAAGGTCTAACCAGATGGCAATAAAGTGAACTAAGTGTTTCAGGAGAGGATTGTTTACTGTTCCTAGTAATAAAACCTAAGTTCCTTGATGCAGTGTTCACTACCTTAGTAATATGACTTCTAAAAGTTAGTTTAATATCGAATATTATACCTAAGTCCTTTATCTCATTGACTCTCTTCAATACAGAGTTATTTATTCTATAAGCGTTTTCAATATTGATTAGGTACCGCGAATATTTGTATTTGTCGTTGAGAGATAAAAGTTGGTCATCTCTTAGTGAATAGTTAATGAAAGATTAAATTCAATGTAGGTGCATAAATGAATGAACGGGAATATCAAGTTTTAACTTATTAGTGAAATCGTTAATGATTGTGAAAGTACAGATTGATGGAAAAGCGGTGTACATAAATCCGCCTTTAATTGACAGGTTTGTGTCTTCAAATGCGGGAGCAAAGTCTTACTTTCGATGCAGTGAGTAGATAAATAGCTATTAAGTCTTCGTTATTTCAGGGACTGAAAGTGAGACACGGCACGCAAGAGCGCGTGTTCAGGCTGGAGTTCATCTCCAATCAGGAGTTCATCGAGAACGAGTACCAGAAGTGGATAGAAGCGAGCGCGGCGGCGGGCAACGATCTGCCGACGAAGGGCAAGGTGGAACAGAAGCAGGCCGACATCAAGGAGGCCATCAGCTACGAGTTCAACGAACAAGATGTCGAGAGGATCGTGAGTATCTACGCGATGTTTCATCTAGGATTGAGCTGAGACGAGTTTTTGGAGGGGTTTGAACCAAAATACTGGTAGTTCCCTCTAGGTGAATTTGGTAGTGCAGGTCCTACACCTCAATATCATTATGATCGGTAATTATTTGCGGTCAGCAGTCGCGAATTCTTCCCTGTTTCGGGCCTCAATCTATTTATTAATAGGTGGCGTACGCGACATAATTGGGAAATATCATTTATCATTGTTTCGGCATCTAGACACCTGTGGCGGGCGCGAGAGTCTTGAGTAGAAGAAGGCGAGATTTTCCGGCGTTGAATGTTATTCGAGTAATAAGATGAAAGTATACTAACAAAATAATAGCCTTTGAATAGTGACTGGCCTTTTGTGTTAAAACCGAGAGTGTCAACGTCAGTTCTGGTATTAGGTAAGTCATCGACGATTTGGTTGATATTCAATATATCAATCGATGGTTGAGACCTCGCAAGTCCGGCTTGTGTGTTAAAATGGCGTTCATAGTGCCACCAGTTGAAAATGTATTTTGTTAATTGTTATTTCGACGACTAGTATATGTGTGGGTATTAGTTTTTAGTTGCTTGGCTCAGTACTCCACAGCAAGTGGGAATAAATCATTGGTATTTCAAGAATTGGCGGTTTTTCATTCTTCCTGCTACCTGGTCTCAGAACCCTCAACCCCTGAGACACCCAAACCAACGTTTCGGTGCAGGTTAGATAGAGTAAAGAATACTCCAGGAGTAGGAGCTGGAACTGGAACTTCATTCGTCCGCGTGGTACTTCGGCTATTATAGAAAACACTTATCTCAATCAATCCATAACAATCAAAAACATCGTATTCATTTACCCTATGCATTGACCTATTATAGAAACACAATAATTCCCATACAGGGGTAAAATACTGACAAAACCGAAAGGTTGCCTCTTTACATCGCCGATTCGGACCCAACCAGACATTTAAATCCACCTGACAAGGGGAACGACCTTCCCGGCCCGATCGCCGACCGTTAAGGAAGTTTGAGAAAACAGTTTCTGCGCGCCAAATTCAAAACAAATAAAGGGATTAATATAGTCGATGGAAGTTCGTCACAGAACCACAGGTTAATGCAGACGGACGCTGAGGCGGCTGAGTAGTTCACGAACCTTGGACTAGCAAGTTATTTGGCAACACGGCGGCTCGGGACTAGCAACACTGTCACTTGACATCATATATGCACTATTTCTATATATGGCTCATCGCCTATACGATATCTCAACAAAAATGGGACCAAAATGAGAGGTACTATTTGAATCTATAAGGACGGAAAGTGAAGGATGGAAACAGCCATATTGGTTTGGCAAGTTTCCTATTATTTTTTCCCTACGTCGGCATCAACGCCTATTGGTCGATTTCGTTAATAGAGACAGAAGTTGGTCCCGCTTTGAGGACAGCTATGATTCATATATGAGTAGTAAATATATGCTTGACATGAACTCCTTTCACAATAAGAAATAAGAAGAGCGATAATATAGGGTTAGGATCGTGGACCTAACCTACAATATGAAGAATGTAAATAACAAATTTATTACAGCCACAGCCGACAAACGATTAATAATCCAGCTCAGGGTTGCAAAATATAATTTGCTTTTTTAAATCAAAAAATCAGATATAGGAGGTCGGTTAAATTAGGGCAAAGTTGCACATTTTTACGCTGAACATTTATCTGCAAGAAAAGTCGATGTGTCATTTGAATTATTTAAAGAAAACGAAAATATGTAAATTTCGTTTTTATTTTTTCAAACGAAAACCAAAAGACCTAGATGTTTTTGACTAGGACATTCTTTAGGCACTTTTTCACAAGGAATCTGAATCGGTCATCGTATTTTCCATGGCGTTCTTGATGCGAAAGTTACAACACTCAACTTTGTTGTTTCTTATGGGCGCCATATTGAATATTTGCATTTTTAAAAAGTCCTGTAACTCAAAATTGGGAAAAATCATTTTTGCGGAGAGTGCTCTGGATGGAACGCCAACAGTTTTGTTTAACAAGAATTTTTATTCACATTTTATTCACTCAAACCCCTTTTCTGCCATTGGCGTAGAATTTTTAAAGGTTCTGCGCCTATGTACTATTATCGGACAAAATTTTAACACCATTTCTTTCGCCACATAAAACTATCAATATGCCAAATTTCAGCAAAATCGCATATGCCGTTTCAAATTTATATAGGAAAAACGATTTGAAAATTATAACTTCAAGGCCCTCTGGAGCCTAAACGATGCAACTTTGTACCAAGGTAATTTTACTTAAATCGACTTATTTTGGTCTAAGGAATATGTGGTATGTTTTTGTAAAGACCTTTTACAGACACCCTGTATATTATTATTTATTATTATTATCAGGTATCCCACCATTCGCGATTTCATTCTTCAATCCTTGTTTTGCGTTTAAAATTGTTAGCGTATAATTCCTAATGATTTATGAATGAATTGCGGTATCCATCTATTGTTATTTGTCAGATCCAAGAGAAGCAGCGTTTCAAATCGAACCCGTTCAACTACGCCGTGAAAAAGACCCAATTGATGAAGGAGCGCGACTCCGCCATCAGCAGGGGGGACGAGGAGCAAGCCCGCGAATTGGCCACCAGATTGACCACGCTGGAAGAGAGAGCCTCGGAGTTGGACAAGTTGCGCACCTCCACCATTTCGAGCATCTCCTATATAAACGACAGGAACAGGAAGAAGAACGTGGAGGAGGCGGAGAAGGCCATCATGGCGGAGGTTCGGGCGAACAAAGGGAAAAAGGTGAGGGGGTTTCCTGCCTGATCATTTAACAAGTCCTGATATCACAACATAACAAAGTTATTGAATGTATATACAAACTAGTGTAACAGGGTGATTTTATGGTTCTCGCAGATATACAGGGTAACTCACGGTCGATGGTACGTTAGACGTTTATGGAGAACGGGACATAGGATCATTCTGAAATTTTGGTTACTCACGTAGTTGCTCTTGGTCTATCGATCTAAAATATTTTCAGCTCTGCGGCGTTGTCGCTTCTATCGAAAAGTAGCAACAACTTTGTTATTTTAAATGGAACACCCTGTATTTTATTGCATTTTCAGATTCTCTCTGAAGAGCTGATTTCATCGATGTATCACACTTGGGGTCTAGCGGAAATGATTATAGAGATATAGGGTATAGGGTGTGAAAAATCGACATTTTTCAACTTTAGGAATTTTTTTTGTCGAAACTTTTCAGTATTGGTCAAAACGGCTTACATGTCCCTATCTCAACTTTTGATTAACTATCTACTGATATTTAATTGGGACATATACCGGGTGATTAAGATTCTGAATTCTGCACCACCCTGTATTTGTTTCAATGTAATGTCAGTAGATAGTTGATCAAAAGTTGAGATAGGGACATGTGAGCCGTTTTGACCAATAATGAATAGTTTCGACAAATAAAATTCAGGTGATATACTGGTACAATGAACCAGTATATCACCTGACGAAGCTACTGTGTTAGCGAAACATATCATGTGTTTGAGAATTTTGTGGGAATCTTATCGTTTGTGAAGTTTTTATATTTGCCATGGATTTATATCAAGTAACGGCCGAGTCAATTAAAAAAAAATCAATAAATTTATTTCAAAAAATCTCAATCATGGTCGAAAATGCTTATTAATATTCCTGGACTTGGCAAAGGCCTTTGACACTGTGTCGCACATTATTTTACTAGACAATTTGGGAATTAGAGGTATTGCCTTGGACTTGTTCAAATCCTATCTCAATCAGACATCTCAGCAGGTCAAAGTCGGAGATTCCATCAGTAAGTGTTGCCTGGTAGAATGCGGTGTTCCACAGGGCACAGTGCTAGGTCCAGTCTCATTCATCATCTTTATAAATAACCTAATCCAATTGGAATGTGGAGGAGATGTGGTTTCCTACGCAGATGACACAGTTACTATGCTTCATGATACCACATGGGATCTTTTATATAAAAAAGCTGAAGTAGCAATGAGTAAAGTTGAAACATACTAACTTACTGACGCTTAATGTGAACAAGTCTAACTTCATGTGCTTCATCTTAAATAAGCGAACCTTTCCTTGTAATAAGACAATAAAGATTCACACCACCAACTGCCAGGACTTTGTTAATTGTAATTGCACTTTATTATCATATAAATTGTGTATAATGAGGTTATAAGTTGATAGTTAAAATCATGAAGGAACATTTTTTTAATTTCTTTTTGAGCGTTCAAATAAAAGCTCTTTATTATTAGTTATTTAGCCAACTAGTTCGCTTTTAAATATAAATACACGTTGGTTACAAAATTTTTCCGTCGACTATATTTCTCATTTTTCCTGCAATGAAGAAAACTTGGTTCGCGAATTCATCATTCATCCGGAATCTGCTAAGAATCACCTAGTAGCCTTGTTACTGACATTAGTAACATGTGAAATTTGTCTAAATGATCAACATAGAAAATAAATTCCTCGTGTTAGAAAACAGGGATTAAAATCGTGTCAGAAACTTGGAAAGGAGGACCCGTTAACGGAAAATCTTTTATGAAATCCACATTTTCGATTCAAATGCAGATTCCGTAAGTTATAGCATAAACAATGAATGCACGGGGTGTTTGTTTGGTTGCTTATAAAACAATCGTTCCTTAATAGACAAATTGATCATTAATAGGGGTCATTAATGAACGATTTCATGAACATTTAAACTTACTCGTTAATACGAGGTCGACGGAAAGAATTTTTTTACTTTCAATTTAATACAATTGTTTTTATTCCAGATCGAGGACCCGTTCACCAGACGGTCGACCAAGCCGCGCATGAGCTTCAAGTCGGGCGAGAAGCAGGCGCAAGAGGCGACCGAAGCGGCCGCCTCGGCTGCCGCCGCCGCGCTCGTATTGAGCGACAAACTCGAAGCGGAGGCGGGCGGACGGTCGGAGGCGGCGAAAAAGAACGCCTCGCTACCGTCGCAGGTGTCGCAGGACGATCTATTTTCGGCGCACGATTTCGATATCAAGATCGATCTGGAGGTGCCGCTGGCAGGTGAGAAAAAAAAGTGGCTGCATTTATTTTAGTCATGTGATATGTTAGGATTCCTGTTTTTCGATTACAATGACAGAAGCCGAATTGGCGAGTGGGCTTTTCTTTTTCTTCCACAATCCGTATCATTACTCAATTAACTCACTACACACTGTTTTACCACTAACCAAACCGATTTTTTACACCTCGACACGTGTTCCGCTAACTATGTGAGCATCTTCAGGAGAAGATTAAAACTAAATGCTCTATCCTAGTGGGCTACCTATATACTAAGTATATGTCCACCCGACCCTGAATAGACAATAACCGCCAAATTAATGTTATTCATGGTTGAGTTCACCTGTTATATGACTAACCCATTCAGATGGCTGAATGGGATAGGTCCATTATCTTTATTCATTACTCTATTACTATCCTCAAATATCCCTAAGCTTATAAATGCATCTGATTTTCTAACATTCTTAACTTGCCTAACTAATTTGAGGTTATTGATATGTGTGTTATGATTGTGATTGGACATGTATTCGGCTACACACGATGTATCTAACCTACCATATTTCAAATGTGCTAAGTGTTCTTAGAACCTTGTTCTTATGGGACAGCTGGTCTGGCCTATATATGTTTTATCACAATCATTACAACTAATTTCATATATTCCTGACCTTTCGAGTGTGTCAACCTTCATCTCTTGGATTACCTAATAAATTGTCTAACTTTGACCCAGACTGATGAACGCTTTCAAAACCTAAGTCTTTAAAAACCTTATCAAATCCTCTGGTGTACTTGGGATTCAAAGGGATTGGGATTTTTCTCTGATTGTTTATATCCGCTTGAAAAGTCGTAGAATTCCTGAGTGATAACTTGAATTTATGTCTACGTATTAATGTATCTACTACTAGTAGATGAATTGATACATAGACATAAAAACTCAAATCCATGGCAAAGCAATTTATTTGCTGCCATTATTCCGGACATACTTCCGTCATGTGATAATGAGTTGAAACAAAAAGCAAGAAAAGAGGATAATGTCCCCTTATGGGAATTCAGCTCTTCAAGGAGAATATGAGAATGCAATGAAATACAGGGTGTTTCATTTGAAAAAATTGATGTTCGATTTTGTGAGCCTTTCTTGCGCCCCTCGTAGAAAATGTAGTATCATTCCTGAAGTTAGTACTCATAATGCGATATGATGTGGAATTATAATATTTTGAAAATTCCTATTGGTTCAGGAGATATTCAACTGTCCCACTGGTCTAGGGACACCCTGTATATATGAACGTCATCATTTCGTTATCAGATTACGGTAGAAATCTGCAGCCGGCTCTCCTACTATTATCAATGTGCGAACCTTTTTTTTTTGTAGATAAACGATGTTTTATTAACTTGTTTTGTATCCTTTATAAAATATGAGTATAATATAAAACGTTTGTTCTATCTTTCAGCTACCCCTGTAAATGTGGTTCCGAAGACGATGACGAAGGATTTGGCCCCCAAGAGAAGTTTGAATCTCCAGGACTATAAGAAGAAGCGTGGGCTCATTTAGTATTGACAACTACCTCAAATAAATTGGAATTATTGGATATAAGATGAATGCGGCAATTTTGTTGTTAAGCCCTTGAGTGGGATGTCAAAAACTCAATAATTTATTTCAAGTATTACTACGATTTCTTGACCTAATTTATCTAGTTACTGTATCTAGGTATCAAATTAAAAACCAGACGAGTTTTATTTTTTGAACAAGCAAACAATTCGGGTATGAACCCTTGAAATTCCGTTGAGCGATAATGTAAGAATGAGTATAGGTATCAATCATTCTGTATATATTTGTGTTTTTGCCAACTGTTAGCAAAAACACTTTCCTTAATACAATTTTTTATACACTTTGTTGTTTTTATTTCATGTTTATCCTACTTTGAAATTCTTATTGAGATGATTGTATTCTTATTATTCACGATAGAAAATAACACGTTGCTCCACCACACGGCAACAGTTTGAACTTTGTTTGAACACTTCTGAGCAGTTTGTTTTGATCATGGATTATACGTCCATGGTTTTGATGATGTGACCAATAAGCACAAACAAAAAACAAATGTGAACCAATGAAAACAAAGTGAACATGCCGCTTTGACAGCTTTCAAGAACTCCGATAGGTAGCGTACGCTTATTTTCTATCGGGAATCGTCACAGAACTTGAAATATAACTCAGATGTGATGTCACATGCACTTGACGGATGGTGAAATCACTCAGTACCCATAGACCTTAACTTATAGAGTACATAGGCTTTGACAGCATTCAGCCAATTAACACCATAGTTCACAGACTACAGAAACAATGTTTTCCGATTTTTTCCTTATAATCATAAACACCATAAGCTCATAAGCACCATAAGCTCATAAGACCACAAGATAGCTTTTTAAATGGTAATGCTGCTTTCACTAAACAGCAAAGCAAAGTTAAAGATTAGTTCGTAACTCCTGTGAATGACTGATCAACTGAATTTTCATTTTCCGACAAAGATTCTCGAATTTTTTCGTTTCAGAAATTCAGAATCGTATACTGATAAAATATATGATGACATACCTTCATTATACATATCAGTTTATTTTATTGTCGCCAAACATTTCTTATCTGATAAGTTTCAAGATTCGGAAAAATCGATGAACTTTAGAGGGCGTGGCGCCAATTTTCAATTTGCGTCCGCCATCTTGGAATGACTCCTTTTACCATTTATGGACATTTAAGCGAATGCCGCGCTAACATTGGTCGACATTTCAAGTTGCAAATTTGATCAATTTTGGTATTTTTCGTGCCGACTTTTATTCGATAAAAGGGCCTGTGGTACTATAAATTACGTTCACGAAGTATACACAGATTAAAACAGCCTTTAGCTGAGTGTTTTTGAAAGACAAACGAAAAACTCAAGATTTATAATTTGCATAGCCAACTTTTTTGAAATTCGCGCGTAATCGAACTTGTCAAACACTTTCATCTGTGGATTTTATTTTTTCAAATAACCAAGATTATTGCGTTATTGATATTTTGAGTGACTGAAATTTCGAAATAAGGCAGGAGTGTTCAATAATATTGAGATAAAATAGTTGAAAAGCTGTTTTTCTACGAAGAAAACTGTGAAATTTCCCAGATTCTCGCAATAACATCATTTGACGCATGCGCTCTGTCATCTGCCGGTAGGCCAACGTCCGCTACAGACCTCCCGAATCGAAAAACGAAAGAACAGTCATATTTATTCAGTGAAACTAGTAGTTCAGATTTGTGAAGTTTTTTTGTGGTAGACAATTTTTTATCATGGTGAGTACTACGTTATTTTGTAAGGAAGGTTATCCCGAGCTTCCTCAATACCAGAGATTGTGATTTGGATTTGACACCCGCAGAGTTGAAGCCGGTCGCCATATTTCAAATTTATCTCGCCAAATTTGCCAGACCCCCTGAAATTAATCTGTTTCAAACCCTGTGAATCTTTTATTCAGCTCACAGGGACTGTACAAATTCAGAAATATTCATGAAACTTGTGCACGATTGGAGATTCTGTGTGCCTCCCTCATCCACCACGGAGCCTCGCTTGTTGGGTGTCAATTTACGAAAAAAATATCTGATTTTTTTAATAGAATATTATACACCTGCTCGAACGATGACTGATGATTCTTGGACATTCCAAGGTTACAGCAGTTGATTTACCTGAAAAGGTATTCGTTTTTTGTGAGTCAACGATCAAGATGTGGTCGAATGAAACGTGTATTTATATGGATGTGACATTCGATATCACCCTGAAATTACTGTTTATATTCGTATTCTTATCTCGGTTTGCCAGATTTTCTTGTGGTCTGGAATGATGCAAAGCTTCTGTAGATCACTTTGGAACACTCCCTTTCACACCTTTGATATGCTATAGAACTGAAAAGTATGCCCATATATGGTAGTCCTTTCTATATATTGTGCAGTTTTTCGTATCTGATTTTTATAATGAGCCCTTCAATATGACAAAAAATACCTAGGATATTTGTATTATGTATTATTAGGTATAAAAGTGGAAAAAAAGAAGCCCAAGATTAGCTCTTATCATATTTTCACTGGGGTTTTTAATGAAATAACTCACCTGAGGCTTTCAATGAATCATCAATATGAATAAGGCATGAATCAGTGGCGTACAATTAACATTCACACACTTCAATGTGCAAATTTAGTCCTATTTTGTAATTTCATCATTATGTTGATCATTATCATTAATAATTATTATCCCTTGGTGTTTTTCATTTAATCATTTGACATCAGAATTCTATTTCATATCAAAGCTGAAAGACTGAATTTCCTTTTTTCTTTTTTTTTCACTGTTTTTATTTTTCCCTTCTTGTTCACTATAATATGACTGTATCTTAATGATATGTAAGTTTTGTTCACTATTTGTAATTTCAATTATACAACAGTCGATAATACTTAAAATTAATTATACTTTATATATTATTTGTATGAAATGTATCAATGAAGAAGAGAATGTAATGCAATAACTGAAATAAATATATAAATAAATTATAATGAGGTTGAGGTTATAAGGAGGGGTAATAAGGAGTTGAACAAAGTTGTTGAGTAAATATAAATATGTACCCACTATGAAAGATATGAAGGCGTTGATTTTCTAGGGAGCTGTTCAACAAGTTTCTCAGTATTGATGCAATGTCTTGATTCCCCACTTGATCCTCTATCAAATTCCCTGAATAAACTGATTCTCACACTGCTTCAAAATATAGTCTAAGCATAAGCATATATTTAGAATCAAAAACTCACCTACTTTCAATATTGAAATAAAAATAATCACTGGATTGGGATTTGTATGTAACTATCATAAATATAAATATACACTTTTTTGATATATTCATTCATTTAATTGCATTCATTGTGATAGGTACTTTTTTATTTTGCATTTATGATATTCTTGTTTCATCCTCAGATGCATTAGATTCTATATCACCCTTTATGCAGAATTTCCGAAAGTCCCAACAGTGATCTGAAAATATGTAGATTGTTTTATTTAAACTTTTGTGCTGTTTTTGTACGTTTATTGGACCTTCCTATGATAATTTCACTTATAATTATTAGGAATATAGGAAAAAATGTAGGTAGATATTGTTGGTAGTCCACAGAAATCTCATTTCCTGTACTGAACAGGATGTGAGATAGACATTGAGTATTGAGAATCATGTACAACCAACTGGTTTTCGTTTTATTGATATTAATCATATTGGATGTACAGATAACTCACATGTAACGTCAAAGTGTACAGGGTGATTCAGATTTTAAAGGCGTAAATTTGGAAGGTGAGTTGATGAAAGATGAGTCAAAACTACCTATATCACATTCGTCACATTACATCAATATAATACAAATACAACTATACACCTAGTACTCTCTGAACATTACAGGATATCCCTTTTCATGGGAACCAGAACATAAAAAAAATGCCAATAATGAATCATATTTCTACAAGCTTTTTTCCAATTCCTACTTATCTCTGGATCATCCTGTGTATACCTTCATGAAAATAGGAGTTCATAATGTATGATGTGCATGATAATTTTTTAATTATTCTTGATGGCTATTTTCAGCAACAGAACTATCTCATGATAATGATATAGCGATTTTATCTAATCTCAATTGATGAAAGCATTCATTGTATTGGATCATTTTATCCACAACAAATAAAATTCAGATAATTGATATTTATTGAACATACATGTTTTCTGAAATAAAACTACTTGTTGAAAATTTATACAGTGTGTCCCACCATGCTCACAATGGGTATCTTTTTAACATGGAATTTTTGTTGAAATTAAAAAAAATGGCTGCTCCAAAATGGCGGACAAGATTTGGTCCGATTCCATTCAAAATTGGTAAGTGGGGGTTTTTGAGGTCGGAGATCATGATTTTTTTTGTTAAAATTCACAAATTCAAGATGGCGGCTTCCAAATAATTTTTTGTTTTTGTATAAATGACGATAGCTCCGTTGTTATCAATAGAATGTGAAATTCTCATTTGAATATTTTCATAAATAAAGAAGTTACGGAGGAGACATAAAAATGATCAAAATCTGTTTTTTGCGTATAAAACAAAAACGAATGGATTTTATCGAAATATTTTTTCACATTATAGTTGGCCTTGACAAACTCCACATTTGATGTCATTTAACCGACCTCGTATCTCTCACCGTTAAAAAGATACCCATGGTGAGTATGGTAAGTGGGACACACTGTATACTAATTTGTTTATCACATCAGCATAATTTTTTGAATGCTTAGTAATATTAATTTGATATCCAGAGCATATCATAATATTTTCATGTATTTTCATAAATACATTATGAAGATGTCGACAGACTTTGCATTATTTGTCATTTAACAGATCTATATGTTACAATTTCCAAAATATCCCCTCTTGAAATTTCTTATTTTGAATTTGGCATTCTGAACAATAATCATTTTCGACTAATCCTCATCTACTGATACCATCCACTGGATAGTGGGTATCAGTAGATACTAATACCACCCAGTGACTCTAATCCTCATAATCGGAATTTTGTTGGGAACATTGAAGACATTTTCTATACTAATAGTGTTTAAACATGATTTGGCTGGCTTCCCATTGACAGCCTACTCACCCAAAAATATAGATAGCCTCAAATGATGATCTGGAAAATTTTTTATGTTTAATATAAATAGCTCTATCAATTTGTGTATAATCCTGAAGTGCCAACTTCTGGCCCATTCAATCAAATTATCTGAAAAAATCATGAAATTGTTGTCCAGGGTTGTTGATCAGAATGAACGAATGATATGGTAGGTGATGCCACACTCACTAGTTCCTTGACATTGGAACACCGAATGAAAGTCGGCGACCTTTCACTTTTCGGTAAAACTGCACTTACCATGCGATGGTTTTTTTTTTTTTTTTTTCGAAAAATGTTTTTGGTACTTACGTGTTTTTGTCTGAAAAACACGAGTTTGATAATGAAAATGTGAAACAACCATTATATATTGAGATATTTCACTATAAAGTTACAAATTTCACCTTCTTTTCCGCCTGTCTTTTGGATCGCATTTAGAACAATTTGCCCTTCTTTTTTCATCATCGGACAATTTATACAGGGTGTCCCATAAACATACCGACAAACTTTAACGGATGGTAGAGGACATCAAAATGAACATTTTTGCTCGATAAACATAAGTCCGGAAACTCTTCGTTTTCGAGATACAAAAAATGATTAAAAGTCATTAATAATAATTAATGATTAGAAAAAGAAAGTTATTGGAAGTTACGAATGAACGCATTGGTAAAATGTGAGGTATAATTTTGAAGCATTTAATTTTTTTTTCATAGATGTAAGAGATATGTTTTTTTTTCTTCAAAACGAAGGTAGATACGGAAAAATTTCAAGGGACAAAAAAGTTGCATTTCTAGTTGTTCATTAAAAAAAATTATCATAATCACAAAAATCTACAGGGCGATATTTTTTTGTGCAAAAACTATCCGACATAGCCCGTGGGCACGCCCCTGAAATTATTGGGCAAATTCTAATAGCTCCAAAAGATACCTTATGAATGTATGAATAATCTGTAAAAATTTCATTTAATTCGACTAAATCGTTTTTACGATATTAATAAAAAATCGATTTTTAAAAAAAAATTTAACACCCTGTATCTAGAAAACGAAGAGTTTCCGGACTTATGTTTATCGAGCAAAAATGTTTATTTTGATGTCCTCTACCATCCCTCAAAGTTTGTCGGTATGTTTATGGGACACCCTGTATATCACAACTTCAATGACACATTTTTCTCTATTATTATGAGTCAACTAGAATATATTATGAATTTCTTGCAATACATCCATATTTAGTGAAAATAAGGAAGAATATCATTTAAAGTAATGGAGTGTGTAATGTCATTCAAAAGCAATCTGTTGACATTTGACATCTCGTATTTGGATTGACTATTGATTAAATGGCCGTCGTCTGGTATGATTGTCCACTAAATATGAAAAACTCGCCACAAAAATCGTATTTTGTGTTGAATTTTCTATATAAAAATGTGTCATTGAAGTACATCATGAGTATATAAAGTGTTCAATGACAAAATAAGAAGAGCAAGTAGCTGTAAATGCATCCAACACAGGGGGAAAGAGAAGGCGAAATTTCGAATTTTTCTTGAAATATCTCGATAAATAGTGGTTTGTTCACATTTTCCGATCGCATGATGATTGCAGTTTTACCCACTTTTCTATAGACAACTCTACCAACACTCGTTCGTCTAATAGAACGGCGAAGCAAATTTAAGAAAATTCACAAACGATAAGATTTCTACAGAATTCCCAATAACATGAAAGTGTGCCACAATATATACATTCAAATTTGGTGTGACGAATTAACTTGAGAGGAGTGATGCAAATATTATACCTACTAAGAAAACAAATTTAAAAGGCTCTAGTGATCGTTAAATACTAAAGAAGCTAGCGGAACCACTCACGAAATTCAACATAAAACACATCTCATAATTTTAGGCTCATTTTAGGCTAATGCTAATTTATTCCCGAATTTTTCGCTCCTCTCTATCATACAAAAATTTGTGGCTTTGCTAGCTTCTGTCGGCCTTTGAAAACATTGATTTTTCACCGATTTCATATATTGAGATCAAATGACTGATTTTAGGGTAATTAATTAGCCTAGTTTCGATTTTTTTCGCTCCACGTTTCAAACAGAAAAAAAACGACGATTTATTGAAATACCTGTTATTCACCATACATAATGCATTTCTATCAAAAGCATATTTTATGACGATTTCATAAGGCGAAGTGGTATAGTATTGATTGTAAGCTCAATAACTATCCCATTCTGGATTTTCTGCTGCATGTTTTTTAAAAGAAACCTGTGACTTTGCTGGTTTCTGCTTCCAAATAATTGATGTTTTATTCCTTTATAACATTTATCAAAACTAGTATTTTCTTATAATTGGTTCGCATAATAATATATTGAATTTCTTTTTTTTTTTACTCATATATTATGATGTTCGTGAATGCTGTGGTTCAACTTTCTACCTGTCTGACCAATATACATACGTTAAGACAAGATTCACAAATCTGATTTGTCGAATTTAGATGTTCTGTCTTCATTATTTTTATGCACTTCAGGGAAAAAAGGTGTGTACTTATAATCCTTCATTGAAAGAATTGAAGTGGCATGATCCCAAATTCCATAGCAATGATATCAAGAACTAACAGTTGCAATAAGAAAGTTCAAATTCGAGACACATTTGTGTAAAATTGGAACAGAAATGACCTTTCTTAGTAAACTTCATTGAAATTCGAACAAATAAGCCAACTGTCAGTGATTAATTTTGAAAAATGGACCTTTTGACATGTATCGAAAGTCACGTGACTTCAACCGAGTAGGCCGTTTTTAATTTTTTTACGCCCAAGTCGAAATTCAAAATAGATTATTATTTAAAGTTTTTTCCATATGATGCCAACTTTTTGAATGACACTGTATAAGTATTAGCAGCTCGTAAATCTTGCTTATGTAAAATTGAAACAATTTTTTGCGTTGATGATCCAAAATGAGTTTAAAGTTCTAGATGCGAAACACATGTCGAGGTGTAAAGGATCGGTTTGGTTAGTGTTAAAACAGTGTGTAGTGTAGATTTATTATATTTGTATGTATGATTTTATTCAACTACTTTTGATGTTTTTTTATCCACTATATTTCAATGTGTTTTTTATGTACTACATTTTGACATGTCTATTGTATCTGACCTGCCAAAAATATAACATTTGTAACTTGGTGAAATAAATATCCTATTCTATTCCATTCTATTGAAATTGTCTATAAGCTGCCATTCAATTTTGATGAAGCTGAGTTGATTCTTTTTAAATACTAATAACATTGTGAGGAAGTTCAAAATGAATTGATATACAGGGTGTCCCTAGACCAGTGGGACAGTTAAATATCTTCTGAACCAATGGGAATTTTCAAAATATTATAATTTCACATCATATCGCATTATGAGTGCTAACTCCAGGAATGACTATATTTTATACGAGGGGCGCAAGAAAGGCTCACAAAATCGAACATCAATTTTTTCAAATGGAACACCCTGTATTCCATTGCATTTTCATATTCTCCTTGAAGAGCTGAGTTCAACGACCTAGCACACTTGGGGTCTAGCAAGAATGATTTCCGAGATATAGGGTGTGGAAAATCGAGATTTTTCATTTTTGGGAATTTTTTGTGTCGAAACTATTCATTATTGGTCAAAACGGCTTACATGTCCATATCTCAACTTTTGATTTACTATTCACTCGTATTTAATTGGAACAAATACAGGGTGGTGTAGAATTAACAGTTTCAGTTAGAATTCTACACCACCCTGTATTTGTTTCAATTAAATACGAGTAAATAGTAAATCAAAAGTTAAGATATGCACATGTGAGCCGTTTTGACAAATAATGAATAATTTCGACACAAAAAATTCCCAAAATTGAAATATCTCGATTTTCCACACCCTATATCTCGGAAATCGTTTCCGCTAGACCCCAAGTGTGTTAGGTCGGTGAATTCAGCTCTTCAAGGAGAATATGAAAATGCAATGAAATACAGGGTGTTCCATTTGAAAAAATTGATGTTCGATTTTGTGAGCCTTTCTTGTGCACCTCGTATAAAATATAGTCATTCCCGAAGTTAGCACTCATAATGCGATATGATGTGAAATTATAATATTTTGAAAATTCCTGTTGGTTCAGGAGATATTCCACTGTCCCACTGGTCTAGGGACACCCTGTATATCGGGTTTCCCAAGTTATCATATACTGGCAATATCTCGCTTATTTGATGAGTTAATTGAAAAATTCCTAATGATATACAAAAAAAATCTAGCAGTTTTGACAGTTCTCTGGCAGCTACCCCCACTTTTTATTTTCAAATGGCACCCCCTGTATATTGTCATTAGAAATAATGTGTCATTCAATTCGGAATACAACGATAGCAGATACTTGGTATTTTTTATTGGTAACAACAACAATATCAACATTTTGAGACTTGTTCCAAGTTACTTAATAATAGTAATAATAATAATAATAATAATATATGCTTTTATCGACTGCAATGTATATAATATTATAATTGAACAATTGTGTAGTTGCCCACATAATACAGAAAACATGCAGTCAAAAGGCATTATCTTTATGAAAATGTTTTTGTTTCAAAAAGCTGATGCTTCTCCTGTCAAAATAATTTTGAACACTTGGTGTGATTTTCAGTTCAATTTTTGATTCGCATAAATGATATTTTAGTTGAAATTCATACATTAAATGTTGCTGTTTTTGTTGTTATAATGATAAAAAATACCAAGTATATGCTATTGTTGTATTCCTTATAGGATGCTACGCAATTTTCAATGACAATATACAGAGGGTGCTATATGAAAATAAAAAGCGGTGGATAGCTCCCAGACAACTGTCAAATGTAATAATTTTTTTATTTCAATGCCATTCAATGCAGTTTTTTACTTTTCCAATTGTATCGTCAAATAAGCGAGATATTGCCTGTATACGATAACTTGGGACACCCGTTATATCATATTGGTTTATCGTTGTTTCAATTTATTGTCCAATCTGAGAAACTCATTGAATTTCACCGTCCCTTCCTATTCTCCCTAAATACTTACGATGTTCTACGGACATAATAGGAATTCCGTTTCGTGCGCTCCACAAGAGACCCGAAAAGAAAAAGTCGAAATGTTTACGAGTTTGTTGCTGTTGCATTTCAGGCGTCCGGTGTAACAGTGTCGGACATCTGTAAGACGACATACGAGGAGATCAAGAAGGACAAGAAGCACCGCTACGTCATCTTCTTCATCAAGGACGAACGCCAGATCGACGTCGAGGAGATCGGCTCGCGCGACGAGGAGTACGACTCCTTTTTGCAGAAGTTGCAAGCCGGCGGTGCGGGAGAATGCAGGTGAGATATCGGATCGGAGTTGCAAAAAATAGTTATTTATTATACAAGGGAAAAAGTAATAGATTTTAGCTCCAGGTTGTGTTGTCTCCCAACGCGTGAGCTAAAATCCAATATTTTTCCCGTGTATAATACACTATTTTTTTCTGTAACGGGAAAAAAGTTTGGCATTTCATCTCTGTTGGCAGGTTATAAAATGTCACTTTTCATAAATTACTTTTTTCCCATGGGAAAAAGTGAGTACCTTTTTCCCGGATATTTATCACATATATAATGGAGTCCATAAAACCGTCTCAGAGAAAGAACTGCAAGTCCTTTTATCTTCCATTCGACTTCGCGGTTACGTATATTACTAAACAACCACTAAATTCGCCATTTTTTTTTAATTAAACCACAGGATTAGACTGACAGAAGTGACATCAGATATTTGATTACTTCAAAAGAGTACTCAAAATGACATTTTATAACCTGCCAACAGAGATGAAATGCCAAACTTTTTTCCGTCACAAAAAGATAGTATATTTTACACCTAGCTTGGGAAGTGAGCTATTATAAAGGGTGCATCTAAATAACACCGAAAAAATTCAAGCGGTGATTCCTTTTGACATTTTAGGAAATACAGTTCATATAAACATGTGTCCTAACTTGCTTCGTTTTCGAGATACAGGGTATTAATATTTCCATGAAAATTTTTTTTTCTATTCATTTCTCGATTGTCTTTTCATCAATTTCAATTATACGTTGTGGTTTTGTTAATTGTAGTATGGAGCTTCTTCTAGTGCAATGAGATTCGAAATAATATTTCCAGTGGCGTCACAGTGGGTAAATTTATCGATATTCATGGTGAATGTCATTGTACGCGAGATTGTACGCCACTGGTTTCATATTTTTATTGGATTGAAATAACAACTTTTTTATTCTCTGTGTGATTTTTGTACCTAGCTTAGTTTTTGAGGAAACAAAAAAAAAACCTTCTGGATTGTGTTGAGAAATTCTGAGATTTTTTTCGATTATTGGATCCCTCGAAAAACGAATAGTCCGCCTATGAAGTCGTGATAAAATACTTTCAGATTTTAGATCCCGTCTGACAAAACAGATTACTACTTCGAATTAAAAAATTAGTACCTACGCCTGTGGAGTCGCCTTTCAGAATTCTATCAGTATATGGACAAGATCTCTCAAATTTTCTTGGAACTCCTTCATAGTCAAAATTGTTGTATTTTTGGCCCCCTACAAAGCAATTTGGATATGCTTTTGAATTCACTATAATTGTTCGTCGAAAAATAAATCAAAAAATATGCACTAGACTTTTGGGTTAAAAACAATATATATGATCCCAAACCTGCAATTTTGATTTTCCACTGAATTGTGCCTCAAAATTCCTTTTTTTTTTATCTACCGAAAAAAACAGTCTGAAATCGCGATTACCTTAGAAAAGCAGGTACCCCTCATGTTTACATTTTTAATAAGTTATTGTAATCAAAAAACATACACTTCAACACTGTGGACAAATACCATTTTTATGATTCACAATAATTACAATCATGGTGAAATAAAGTGATAATCTCTATTAGTAATCTTGATGACTTTGAAAATTGCAGGTCCAATGGAAATTTTCTCGGAATTTTCATTACAAATAAAGTGCATGATTGCGCAATCAGAAACATTTCTCTCCCAAATGCAGGTTAAAAATACATTTTACATACAGTGTGACCCACTTTTAATGGAAACACCCCTGTATCTCACGTAATCGTTAGGTAAGGATCCTGAAATTTGCTGGAGCGAGAGATATACACTGCTCGCCAACAGCCATGGAACCACCCCAATTTCCAGAGAATGATATTAGGAGTCAAAATAGGTCGAAAATGAAAATCACTTCAGATTCAGATTCAGGACGTCCAATTCACTAACTATTCATATTCTTCTTGGAAAATGTTCAGTTCTGAAAAATTAAATTTTGTCGCACTTTTCACGGAAGCACCCCCGTATCTTACGCAATTGACTTTATATTTGGACTTTCCCTTCCTCCTGTAAATTTCAGAACCCTATCTCAATAATTACGTGAGATACGGAGGTGCTTCCATGAGAAATGAGACAAAATTCAATTTTTCGGAAATGAAAATTTTCTAGGAAAATTATGAATAGTTAGTGAATTGGGCGTCCTGATTCCGAATCCGAAGTAATTCTCAACCTATATTGACTCCTAATATCATTTTCCGGAAATTAGGGTGGTTCCATGGCTGTTGGCGAGCAGTGTATATCACTGAAGATGATCCCACTTGGTCAAAGAGTGCATTTGTGGTACAGTGTGACCCATTTAAGATGGAAGCACCCTTATAAAACTTACATTTTTCAACCGATTGGAGTGATTTTTTTTTCGTTAGGTAGATATTCAAAAAGTCTATTAGGACGCCAAATATCATGAATAAATCTCCATTTCCAGGGCCAACTAATCTGATTTTTCAAGGTCAAAAATCTAAAAAAATTACTAGCGATTTTTTTAGAAAAAAATCTTACTACACCACTGGATTTGTGACATTTTCAAATGGGTAACATGTAAATTACGTTGAAATGCCAATTCATGTTCAGGCATTTTATGAAAATTCTGTATATTCCACTGGATTCTCAGGATGTCTTGAAATATTACTGATCACAGTTTCATCGAAATCTGTTCAGTAATAAAAATTGATGGGTTGATTAAACGGCATATTTTTCAAATTTCATTCCTTTATAACTTTTTTATTGATTGACGCATTTCAACGTAATTTACATGTTACCCATTTGAAAATGTCACAAATCCAGTGGTGTAGTCAGATTTTTTCTAAAAAAATCGCTAGTAATTTTTTTAGATTTTTGACCTTGAAAAATCAGATTAGTTGGCCCTGGAAATGGAGATTTATTCATGATATTTGGTGTCCTAATAGACTTTTTGAATATCTACCTAACAAAAAAAAAATCATTCCAATCGGTTGAAAAATGTAAGTTTTATAAGGGTGCTTCCATCTTGAATGGGTCACACTGTATATCTCTTGCTCCAGCAAATCCTTACCTAACGATTACGTGAGATACATGGGGTGTTTCCATTAGAAGTGGGTCACACTGTAGATACTAATTTACGGATAAAAAAATCGACCATTTTTGAAGGCAAGTACTTTTCGTCCTCAGACACTAAATTTTCGTTTGCTGTTGTCAAATTGATTATTTACGAACATGTGAATAAAACCATGGTGAGTGAATACTTGCAGTAATTTAATGGGCGCGTACACCTTAGTAGAACTTTCAACTCAAACCATGTTTATAATGATCCTTTTATACATAAATAATGATTGACGACATAATTCGATCGAATAATTAACTGGAATGTTTTGTTTTTGGACATAAATAACAGTACCTTCTGAAAACGGACCCTCTTATGACGTAGAAACCTCATCTCGCCATAGTTAAAAGAAAATACCAAACGCCCGACGGAGACTGAGGCAACTGATATATCAATTCTTTCAACTGTGATCTCGCGCTAATTCACTCTGTCAGAAATCATGTATCATTCATCTTTGTCTGGAATAGTCTTATTTCAGTATTAGGGTTTTGACGTCACATCATCGCCTCGTTTTCAGAGGTCCGAAAAATCGGGGATTTCAATAATTTTTTATAAAACGTAGGGAGCTCACAGCAAGAAACGGTTTGCGGTGTTGAGTTAGTTTGGGTGAGTTCTATCGAATTATGAAATAATATTTTTTTGTGATATAAGCCCATTGATGGCTGAAAATAGTGAAAATACAGGATTTGCTTCCTCAGCTAATTTTAAGATGAAAAGTTCATATGAATATATGCTCTAAACCTCTCAACTTCCGAGCTATAGGGTGTTGAAATTTTAAGAAACATTTCATTTTCTTATCATGACGTCAATACTGATCTAGATATTTTCAGGAAATTTGACAGGCACCTACTAAGCACCAATAGGTTTTTGATGAAGGAGATTTTTTAATATTTCTACCATTGGCGTCCATATGGAATGTACAATTGTACAATGAAATTGAAAAAAGAATATATGGTACGCCTTTGTTTTTTTCCAAGAATAAAAATATTTTTTTAAATCTTCATTCATTCTGTCGTACCGTTTTCGCGTAAAAAATAAAAACCATGAATTGAATGAAAATTAGACATCAACACATCCTACATACAAACTACCAGTCGGTGCATGTCAAATTTCATGAAAATACCTAGAAGTACTGAAGTTATGATTAGAAATATATTATTTTCTTGAAATTTCAACACCCTAAAGCTCAAAAGTTGAGAAGTTTAGTGCATATGTTCATATAAGCTTTTCCTTCTCAACCCATTAGCACCGGAATAATTTTTTCCTTCCTTTTCTGATATTTTATGACCATGAACTAGTGTGAAATGCGTTCGAAAGACGAGAAGAGTATAAAGAATCATAATAATTATTGGCATTCAGGTTTTCAAAAAATCAGCTGTTGCCAAATGGCAACACTAGGCGCTTGTGATACATATTTTGGGATATTAATACATATACCTACATACATTTTGAACACTCACTATTCTGCATGGCTACGTCTAATATCCAAATGATTAGGGACCAGGAGATGCGGTAATAATTAATATAATTTTTTTTTTTTTTTTTTTTTTTGTTTGTGTGCTTTGTATATATTGAATTTATAATCAATATTTAATCTAAATATTTTTAAGAACTTGAAAATTTTTTTACAAAAAGTTTATAATAATTATCTAATTCACACACAGGTCAATAACCTATGTGAAGTAGATAAAATTTAGAATTTTTATAATATTAGAATATGTATGTCTTTGTAAATGTATTCATATGAGAATAAATAAATAAATAAATAATAAATAATAATCTGATCAGTTTCGCCCATATAATAGTACTACTTGAATACCTTCAGAAACAACGCATACCACCTGGTTTCTTCTGGCAAGTGCTGAATAACTTCGTCGTTTCCCGCTCAGTCATCCAATTGTTTGACCCATCACATATTGGAATGGAAGTATTAACAGAATGCCGAAGAGTTCGCTGAGTATAAGCGAGTATAAGCGCCTAGCGTTGCCAGAATGCAACACGAATATTTGATGCAAATATTCTTGACAAAAAACATTTCTGCAATTTTTTCAATATGTTACATATTACATATAACTTGAAGCATGTGCAACATTTTTATGAAAACAAATTCACGTGGCCGAACCAGCTTACTCACAATAAAGAACTGGCGACATGTGCATAACCGGTTTTTTCGTTGATGAAAGGGCTGTCTCACCCTTATAGCTAAACATTTGAGTGCTTGTGAATTATTTGAATCTCCACCTGACTAGCGTTGCCATATGGTAACGCACGGTGCTAACAGGTTAAAATGAGCTAATAAACCTTATCCCATATTTTCAGCCATCAATTAAACTGTGAGGTCGACAAAAAAATGTCTGTCACGCCTGCTTACTAGCCTCAGCTTTCAATTCACAGACTCGACTATAATAAACGGTTTTTCATCCTTGATACCTGAATAACTATTATTGCCAAATGAGCGGTTATGTTTTGTCCTACTTGTTTGGATCATGACGGCTGACATTTCGTGTTATTGCAGGTATGGCCTCTTCGACTTTGAATATATGCACCAGTGCCAAGGCACATCGGAATCCTCCAAGAAGCAAAAACTGTTCCTGATGTCGTGGTGCCCCGACACTGCCAAAGTCAAGAAGAAGATGTTGTACTCTAGGTGGGTTTCATTGTTTGCTTATAATTTTTTTCTTTCTGGAAAATGCTGGGCGACAATGTTGTTAGGCACCTAAATTAATTTTTGCAACACTTTTTTGTGTAAATAATGAGTGTATGCGTTGTTCAAAATTGTTGAATTTCGGCGGAGCTCATTTCATTTGAATAAATGGTGACATCAGCTTTTATGCTGTTTCGTTATTGGTCAGATAATCTTCCATTCTCACTCACGAAAGCAAGGTTGTCAAGTCACCAATTATAATCAAGTTATCAAAAAGATATCAGTCCTGTCGTTGAATAGATCATTATAGGAGGAACCCATGATATTATAGTTCATTCTTGACTTTCTCGAGCATCCAGCATCTCCAAATATTTCTTATACTTCATAAGAAAGTATCAGTATCAAGTTGGAGACTTGGCAACATTGTGCTGAATGTTGAGAAGGGGCAAGACCACGCCCACAAGTCTTGCGCCATGTTGTCATGTTCACCTTATACTTCATAAGAAAGTATCAGTATCAAGTTGGAGACTTGGCAACATTGTGCTGAATGTTGGGAAGGGGCAAGACCACGCCCACAAGTCTTGCGCCATGTTGTCATGTTCACCGCTTCAAATGTTCTCTAGTGTGAATTAATATACTTCCTATTTACACAAATGTATTATAAGCAATAAACCACAAATTTAATCATTGAGGAACATTTTGAGACAATTGATTTTGTTTTGCTAAATAGGAATATTACCAATACATAATTGAGAATTTATGAATGTTTGAATAACTAATATTTCTATACAGGGTGTAAATTTGAAAACTTCCAATGCGAATATCTCGCGAAAGAAAAAAGTTAGAGAAACGCCGTTTGGCAAAAATGCTAAAGAGTTAAGGGGAACTAGAACCACCATATTTCGGTCAAGGGATGAGTCACCCCGTCGGCGCGACACACCCCAACTTTGAAATGTCAAATGGCACTACCTTTTTTGTGATGCCTCAAATGAATAGTCTCAGTCAGTAGTATTCACCTGTACAAGACCTTTTTCCCACCCACTACGAAAAATATAAAGTCGAATAAAATAAAATGAATTGTGTTAAAAGGATATTTTATTTGATCAGATGTTCAAAATGCATTCCATTCTGTTGTAAGCAATAGTATAATCGATGTTCAAATGCCATTCTAGCATTTTGGAACACATCTCTTGGAATATATCGGCATTCTGCCTTTTATTTTATTCGACTTTATGTTTTCCGTTCACCCTGTAGTTGGTGGAAAATAAGTCTTGTAAAGGTGAATACTACTGACTGAGACCGTTCATTTGAGGTATCACAAAAGAGGTAGTGCCATTTGACATTTCAAAGATGGAGTGTGTCGCGCCGACGGGGTGACTCATCCCTTCACTGAAATATGGTGGTTCTAGTTCTTCCTAACACTTTAGCATTTGCGCCAAGCGGCGTTTTTCTAACTTTTTTGTTTCGCGAGATATTCGCATTGAAAGTTTTCAAATTTACACCCTGTATAGGGTCGTGACGTCAGATTTTACTCTCCGTGAATTTCTATCCGTTGGAAAATCACCGTGGCATTATTGATAATTTCAGCACCTAAAAATCGACCGAAAAATTCTAAAATAATATGAAATTGAAAGATATTTGAGTCCACTGGTCAAAAATTGAAGAAATACCTTCGAGTAAATAAACTCAACGATTGGTCAAACTTTGAATTGATTTGGCTACATTTCGTTCAGTGAACTACAATATTTTTACTTTCTCTTTGGGATATTCAGTGTCATTCATAAAGTCAGCATCATATGGGAAAAACTTTTATTAATGACTTATTTTGGAATTCGAGTTGGACGTCAAGTTTTGCTTCAAAAAAGATGAAAAATGGCCTACTCAATCAGGGTCACGTGACTTTCGTTACATATTAAAAGTGACATTTTTTCAAATTAATCGCTGAAAGTAGGCTTATTTGTTCCAATATCGAAAAAGTTTACTTGAAAAAGTTGTTTCTATTTCAATTTTACACATGCTTCTCGAATTTGATCTTTCTATTGCAACTTTTAGATTTTGATTTTTTTTTAATTTTTCGAAATTTCTGTAATATTTGGAGAATTGTTAATTCAACGAAACTACTTCATACCAGTAGCTTCTTCATGCTACTTACTTTCTATTACTTATTATTACTGATTATGGACAGAAATATGATTTTCTTCAGAAAATGATAATACCCGCTTCCAAATTTTGTTATATTTGATGCAAAGTTGATATATCGTCAAGCATATAGAAACAAAATTCATTTAAACTGATCTTTTCAGTACTGGAAAAATAAATTCAAATGAATTTTGTTTCTAAATGCTCGATTCAAACATAACAGAATTTTGATGTTATGTTTGCATCAAACATAACAGAATTTTGAAGCGGAGATTATCATTTTCTGAAGAAAATCATATTTTTGTAGATAATTAGTGATAATTAGTAATTGAAAGTTAGTAGCATGATGAAACTACTGGTATGAAGTAGTTAATTTCGAAAATTTTAAAAAAATATCGAAATCTAAAAAATGTAATAGAAAGATAAAATCCGAGTCACATATGTAAAATTCAAATAGAAACAACTTTTTCAAGTAAACTTTTTCGATATTCGAACAAATAAGCCGACTTTCAGCGATTAATTTAAAAAATGTCACTTTTAACATGTAGCGAAAGTCACGTGACCCCGTTTGAGTAGGCCATTTTTCATATTTTTTGAAGCAAAACTTAACGTCCAACTCGAATTTCGAAATAAGTCATTAATAAAAGTTTTTCCCATATGATGCCGACTTTATGAATGACACTGTATATCATTTCGTTATCAGATTATGATAGAAATCTGATTTCATGTTATAACCTTAAAGAGCAATAGGTCGCGTGCAAGAACTGTCAGATGACCGACCCTGGAGGCAAAACATATTTGTTTACAAGTGATCGGAATAGTTTTCCACAATTATTTTGGCATATGAATCGTATTTTTCCGCTATTCATCAATTCGCTAATGCCATCACATTGTGCTGTTGTAAAATGCACAAAAACTGCAGCGGAAGATGAAGGAATCCGGATGGTACATTATGATTTAAAAGTAAGTACCTACTATAGGCACTCACATATAGTTTTTATTTTTGAAATTTGGTTATTTCTTTGATTTCTCATCGGAATTCCTTCTGCAATAGGATCAGCTAATAGAAATATACCTGAAATTTCTAGAATAATGCAAGAAGATTGGATTCATGGAATCAATCGGTAGGACTGGTCTGACATGCTGACGATCGTGTGTGTTGTAGACATTTTCGATCTATTAGCAGCATTAGCTTGTATTGCAGAAGTGGCAGAAGGCAGAAGGAATTTTAATAAGGAATGACAACATTTCATAGTGCTAACTATGTGAGATTACTATTTACCTGATCAATCATATTCCCTAGTCTCTTGCTGCATTTTTATTGCATTGTACAACAGCACAATGCGAAGGCATGCTAGAATTAATGAATAACGCAAAAAACACGATTCGCATGCCAAAATATTGTGAAAAACTATTTCAACCTTTTGATTCCTCTGTAAACAGATGAAAAAGTGAGGTTGTGTTTCAATAATTCACAGAAGAATGAGGTTGTGTTTCAATATTTTGCCTCCAGGGTCGGTCTTCGTGCACGCGACCTATTCATGGCTTTATTTTATATTGTGAGATATTTTTTCCGTTGCAGTTCCTTCGACGCTCTAAAAAAATCCCTGGTAGGTGTCCAAAAGTACATTCAGGCGACAGACCTGTCCGAAGCCAGTCAAGAGGCGGTAGAAGAAAAATTGCGATCCACCGATCGCCAGTAGCGCGCGCAGGCGCACCATTTTTTTTTGTATTTTTCTCGATGACTGTCTACTCAAACGCACCGACCTACCCGGGTGTATTATTTATATAAGTATTTGAATATTTAATAAAGCTTCATTTATAAACTCGATCCAGGCGTGTTTCATTCGAAAGTCAGGAAATATAATAACTTGTAAATGGAAATTTTTAAATGATTGTTTTGTGTCATTTGATATGTTCGAATTAAAGGCGATTTTCCAACAGTGAAAGCGGTGTTTTTCTCACCTTCGATGCGATTTCGTTCAAATTGAATTCTGATTTTGAATTTTTTGAGGCAAAATTTAAGTAAGTATTTGTGTCTGGAGAGCAGAAGAAATTGATAACATCTGCTGGAAATAGAGGAGGTGATTTGACCAGTTCACGTTATTTTTATATTGGTATACAGGGTGTCCCAGAACAACGTACATTAAATTCAACAGGGTGAACTAGAGTTCAAAATAGGTCGATTGTGACCAACTTACCTCTGTAAGAAATGGATTTTTTTTTCAGATTTTATTGAATATTTCAAAATCCACACGATACAAAGTAAGGCCCCCGTCATTCCTTGCTCGCACAAGACTTTCGAAGACTTCTGAGGGTTGCTCGTAAGGAGGCAACCGAAGGACGGATAGAACAATTTTACAACAATTTTTTCAGGTAATGATCTGAACTTTAGGAGGCAGTCAACTAAAAGAAGTGTGCATAGATAACATGTCTCATCAGTGCAATCGATATACAGGGAGATACAAATTTAGCATTCTGATTGGAGAAAATCCATAGAACTTTTTTTGAGTACGCCACTGACCATATTTTAATATCTACTTGAATAACAAAATCAATGGGGAAGACCACTGAGAGAAGAAATCCGTGCAAACCTCTTTCCATTGACGAATCATGATTTACGTTTGTGTACTATCAATATTATGAGTTGAAAGTTGAAGGGAATCGAATCTATATCGTCTTGAAATCAGCATATTATTTCATTCGATATTTCAAACAGTCAAATATGATGGTGGAGTCATGACGTGTTAATCCCGAACTGTAGCTATCTCTCTCTGTTACCTCGTCATTCTGCAGTATTGCAGTGTGATTGGTCAGTTCAAGGACAATAGGCGTGTTGGGAATAAGACGTCGTACCAGTCACACCAATGAATTGACAAAATTTCAAATGGCGCAGGAATTGTGTGTTTTGAAATGGACATATTCTAATTTATTTTTTCCATCGTCTTAGCATGAATGACAACATTAAAAATTAATTCCCTGGTAGTTTTTCAGTAGTTCTCGATAATGTCATTTTAAAAAATCAGTGGTCTCCCCCATTATCTATCTTTTTTCTCACCACATTTCTTTCTAAATTTTGGTTGGTTTACGTTACGAGATATCTGAAAAAATTCATTCCGAGTCCCTCCATATCATCCATAGTCCAAGATATTGTGTATAGTTATCGTGTTCTTCAGGTGTCTTCCTCCTTAATGTTGATATTTTGGTGACGTATTCATGTTAATTATTTAATAACCTTTTCATCATACAGGATGGCCCATTGTCAACTTGACAGGGAGATTTTGGGTGATAGTAGCGTAGATACGAAAAAATGCTCAGATCGGTCGATTTTAGTTTGCACCTCCTGCTATAGTTATTTTCCTAACGAGTGCGCAAAGTGTTACTTTTCCGCACGGGTAATTGCCAGAAAGCAGCAGAAGAATTTCTATACTGAATTTTATGTCGGCCTCGATTACCACAAATTTATGGTTATTTTTTGTGAGGCATGAAGGTTTGATTGCTCAACGCGTTTTCTTCAAACAATCTCTCACAGGTCGGTACTAAACTATATCGTTCTTTACATCCACTATCATTTTTTCAAATCTTTCTTCATAACCTTTCGTTCTGCCTGTCATATTGATATCCATGTAATTCTTTGTCCTTGTTCACTCAGGTTTCTCCTCCAATTTTCTACTTCCTTCATTTCTCAAAGTTTTGGTTTTCTTGAGAAAAAGTGGGGGCTCCTTATTGACTTCTAGCAGCTACTTTCAGGTGAAAGAATTCCATCATCTGAGGAACCCGGAATTTCAACTTCTCAAGAAATATCAATGAGGAAGTTTGATATACCCGAGCAGGATATACTTACCAATATAGTTTTCGTTAAGTGCTTAATCTGGTAAAATAATCATTATTCCAGGCTCACGGTTTGAAGAAAGAACGTCATCCATTCCTTCTAATGTTTTGAAACGTTTGCCATGGAAGCATCCCAAAGAAATTTGCTGAAAATTATTATCAATTTCGGACCCAGTTCTGAAATGAAATTCCGAAATGTATCACATATCTTCCCATCGTACCCAAATGAGTACACCATTGTTTTATTTTGTTATGCGAGGAATAATGCAAAATTGAGTGTCAGGATAGTTTAAGAAACTCGAATATACATACCTGGTCAGCTAATAATTTACCGAGTCAAATAGAAAGATATCAACGGACGCAGTTCAAAAAGTAACTCTTGAAAACAAGAGACGACTCGGCACTTGTTTACACAATTACAGTTGACATTCGACATTTACGCCATTTGTGAGTATTTCGGAAAATTAATAGTTTCTTGTACATTGCAGAACACTACCACGAAATTATTTTGTTGAAAAATTTCAATAGATGTAGATAGTAGACCATAAATTTCAGTGTACTTAAATGAGTACAGTGGGAGGTAATGGTGTTCAAAAACTTCCGTCAGTTTTTAAAAGTGTCAAATTACATGTCAAAATTAGAACATTATTGTATGTAAAACGTTAGGAAACGCATTTTGTGTAACTGGTTATGTAAATATCTATTCTTGGACTTTATTTTGTCAATGGAGGAGATCCGATCGCACGTACGAAACTGGTAAGAACACCGTTGAAAAGGTAACTATGGTGATTTGAAGGAATATCAGAGGTCAAGGAATAACGATCAAAAACATTTTTGTGGGCTTTATTTTAAAAGCATGATATATGGAGAGAGTATGTCATAAATAAATAGCATAAAATATAGCTGATCTCACAGAATACAAGTTAAATGCGATGATATGATCAGTTCCACACACCCTATGAACGAATTACACATACTTAGTATTCAATACTGGACTAAACTTCAGCGACCTTTCAAATCCTCTTGGCAAAAAGTTTCGGTTGATTTTACTCTTGAGGACGGAAAAGCACATCGTTTAGCGAAAAATCATCGAAAATTCACATCATTCGATTCCATTACCAAGCCAACCAATTTTAAACAATCAAATATTATACAGCGTGAAACAAAACGTACACAACTTGAAACAGCGAAATTATCGTATGGGACACTGTATATTGAGTGAATTCCATGAATGAGTCTCAAGTGAATCATGAATAGATGAATTGTATAGAATTGTTTTTAAGCTGTATGAACACTAGGGTATGTTTTGTTTTGATGTGCAACTTTGATGACTTTCAAGTTTTTACATAACAATCACAACACTTCAATTATTATAAGATAAAAACATTATGAATTTACAAATGTACGAAATTGCTTAGTTAATTATTATCATTATTATAAATACAATTAAAACTAATAGGATATTTACCGCTAACAAATTTTATATTTACAAAAAGCGCGTTATTATTACAGATGATGCGAATATTGCGAAAACGAAAAACCTCAAATCCTTAATTAGTACATATTCGTCTAGAAAATTCCCTAGTAAGTACAGGGTGGGCAGTAAATCACAAAGGTATGTGTAAGATAATTCTTTCGTAACATATTTTTATTAATTAATTGATTTTAAAGAACGGGAGAGCCTGAATTTCTCGAAATTTTCGGGACTTTCCTGAAACTTCTGAAAATTCTTCGAAAATTGCAATTTTTTCAGAAGATTTTAACATTTTAAATTTTATGAGAATTCTTCAAAATTTCTGGGGATTCTTTAACATTCCTGGTAATTCCTTGAAATTACTGACATTTTTTTTCTCGAAAGTTTCTACAATTCAATAGGGCATCATCGGATTTTCTCGATTTCCTCCACTTCCTTGAAATTAATCAAAAAGTTCCGGAAATGCTTTGAAATTCCTTTGAATTTTCGGAAACTATTAAAAATTGTTTGCAATTTCTGGGAATTTTTCGACAATACCAATAATTCTTAAGAATTATTTGAAATTCCTGAGAATTTTCGTAATTTCTGAGAAATCTGTACAATCTTGATACTCCTCCGAAATGTGTTGAAACATCCTAAAAATTATTTGAATTTCTTCACAATTATTCGTATTTCTTAGAATTCTGTGATATGTGAATTTCTGGAATCTCTAAGAATTCTGAAAGCCTTTGCAAAACTTCAAAATTCCCATAAAATTCCTCTAAATTTTAAGCAATTCTTGGAAATTGTAGTTTGATAATCCTAGCAAGCACATGCACTGTTATAATATGCCAAAAGGAGTAAAAAGTCCATAATACAATGTACAGTGTGTCCAGTTTTCGATCAGATTTTGCATAACTGTTTGAGTATATGAGATACAGGGCGATTTTGAAAATTTATACTTTTTGGACCCCCTCTATATCTAAGAAGTTTCTGAGCGAAAATGTCAAATTGAAATCTGCGCAGAATCCAGTGGCGCACTCAATTTTTCTTTGGGTATGGTTTTGAAAATACGACTCAAACTTATGATTTTTCAAATAGAACACCCTGTATTTTAGAAGCTCATTAAATTCCTTATTTTTTTCCATCAAAATGAAATATGATGTATAAATATAAAATTTTCAAAAATGCTCCAAAATCACTGAAACATTGAATTTTAATAGTGGGCTATGGATTTTACATTCAAAAAAAGTTCCAATTGAAGGAATATTTCATTTGATTTTTCTATGGAAAAAACAAAAACAATTCCAACACCAGTTGACTAAGAAAACATAAAAATTAGGTACCTGATAGCAACAAATAAATAGTAATAAAAAGTTCCTAATATAGAATAAGCACCTGATTAAATATTCACAAAGACAATTGAATTTCGAAATTATTCAGTAACTTATTCATTGAATTGTTCAAATTGATGTCCATTTTTCCTCACACACTTTCTCAATACGTCTTAATGCATTCAAATTTATTAAAGGATGTCTTTGTTATTCCTGGAAAACTGCCTCTGTTGTTGCACAAAGTTCTTCAAGATTGTTGTGCCTCTTACTGTATCAAGATGTATTGAGAAACAATGAATAAGTTATTGAATAATTCCGAAATTCAATTGTTTTTGTAAATATTTGATCTGGTGCTTATTCTACATTATGAACTTTTTATTATTATTTATTTGTTGCTACCAGGTACCTAATTTTTGTGTTTTCTTAGGTTAATTAGTGTTGGGTATTGTTTTTGTCCTCTTCATGGAAAAATCGAAATAAATATTCCTTCAATTGGAACTTTTTTATATGAAAAATCCATAGCCCACTATTAAAATTCAATGTTTTAGTGATTTGGGAGCATTTTTGAAGATTTAATATCCATACATTATATATCATTTTGAAAGAAAAACATGAGGAGTTTTATGAGCTTATAAAATACAGGGTGTTCCATTAAAAAAATCATAAGTTTGAGTCGTATCTCCAGAACCATACCCCGACAAAAAATGTTTAGTGAGCCACTGGATTCTGCGTAAAATTCTCGATGAGATGAGGTTTCAATTTGACATTTTTGCTGGGAAACTTCGTAGATATAGAGGGGGTCCAAAAAGTATAAATTTTCAAAATCGCCCTGTATCTCATCAACGGAAACAGTTATGCAAAATCTGATTAGGCCATCTTGAGTTTCACAAAAAAGTGGCACAAGATCGCGAAAACCGCAAGGTTCTATCTCCAAAGATAACTGATGAGATATCAAGCAAAAGCATCGAAAACTGGACACACTGTACATATTGTATTGATGTCCAAAAAGTGTTCTAACTGTTGTTGGTCCCATTCGGCAAGCAGAAAAATGAAACCTTTGCGACTACCGCCCACCCCGCATAAAATTTGTTAGTTGTAAACGACTCACGAAATCGGTCCCGCACCCTTCTAACCCTTGTTCTCCACGATTTCGGTGGCTAGGGTCTTGTTTTTGGTCACTGTGGTCTTGAATTGCTCGGGAATGGGGATCTCCGTATAGTCCCCATCTGCCTTCGGGATCATCACGTTCATTTCGGAAGACTTGGAACTGAAAGGAATCCATCAATAATAATTTCAATCAACAGGAGAGAAAAACGAACTCAAACTCGGTCAACCACAATATTTAATATAAAAATAATCAGCGTGTGACTATAGTTTCGGCTCTACGGCCATCTTCAGACACTGGTAGCTGAGAAAGAGTTGACATACATCTTATGTAGAAAACATCTTAACAATATAAAAATTAATTATCCGGTCATTATAACAGAGGATCAATCCAGCCTCACACTCAACAAAATTTGTAACGGCTGAAAAGCCAAAAGAACTCGACTATAAGTAATCCCTAATACCACAATGATTTCCCATGGATATCCTTTGGACGTCCTGTCGAGACATTCAGGACGTCCATAGGACGTACGAATTTGGTACCGTGGACGTCCATTGGACGTCTGTGGGACGCATAAATGTCCCTGGGACAACTATCGAATACCTGAATCCTACATCCTTAGGACATCCGTAGGACAACCTATCAGCAACGCTGAGGGATATCGATTGGATGTCCATAGGATGTCCCAGGGACGTGAGAATTATTATTGAATTCGATTTTTTCTGGTCCCTCTAGGACCAGATCTTGCATAACTGATGAGGACATCCAGTTGAGTTGATGGTCCGTATGAGGTCCCCAATAGATCCTGAAAAAGTTTCCCAAGGATGTCCAATGGACTTACATGAAGGACATTGACGGGGAGTATTTATAGTCTACGAGCAATCATTCGTCGGCGAGGTGTAAGTTATAACGTCCTCGCAGGGACAACATATTGAAAGTACCGACTGGGACGTCCGAAGGACGTTATTTCTAGGACATTGGGAGAGTACAGTTCATGTACCAATCGGGACATCCGACGGATATCCCTAAGGGAGAGATATTTGAAGGAATGTACCATCAGGGACATATCATGGCTGTCTAGAAGGGGCATTAAGATCTGAAGTCATGTCAGAATATGAACTACTCGGGACATCCGATGGATGTCCCTAGAGGAACGTTTAAAATCATATCCCATCTGGGACATGCCAAGGACGTCCTCGCATGGACATTTTACAATATGTACCACGTGGGACGTCTAAGGGATGCTACTGCTAGGACATTTGAAATGATGTACCTGCTGGGACATTCCGTGGACGTCCGTGCTCGGACATTGCATGAGATGTACGGGATGGGACGTCCCAAGGACACTTATTTTTGATCCTCAACATTCGGACTTGAATTGTACCAAATAGGGGCGTCCCCAGGACGTTGTGGGCTATTAGAAGTTCAGCATCGGGAAAAAATGGAAAATTAAATTTTTGGAAATCTACTCAATTGAGCTTCATCTAAATGCAATCATGCCATCGAGAGAAAAGACGCAGAAATGTAAAATTTGAAAGTGGTGATTTGACATTGACATGACAATATTGACAATTTCAAACACAGAATGAAACATTTTTGAATGACAATCAATCATATGAAAAATGTGGCTCGACATCCAAAAGAGATATAATAATGAGAAATCAGAAATTATATAACTTCAAATAACAATGCAAATAACATTTCAGTTGTTGACAGTATAGTGTCCCTTGATGGAAATTGACGTTAAAGTCATCTTAACAGGGTACGGACAGATCATAGCTGCATTCTTTTTTAATGATCTAGAGACTTTAGTTTTGTCTACTGGCATCCCTGACATTGCTGTCACGTCACGTCCATGGGCGCTAAAGAAAATCATTCAAAATTTTAATAATAGGTATGTACAGGGTATTTACTTGTTGAGGAAGATCATATGGGGATCGAGTTTTCTAATCATGATCCGATTCTATTAATTTTTTATATGGGGGTTTTCGGGGTAGGAGATAATGATTGTTTCGTGAAAATTGTAAAATTCAGGATGACGGATCGAATATGGCGAAAGACATTTCTAATTATGATCTGATTCAATTAAAATTTGGTATCTAGGGGTTTTCGGAGTCGAACTTTATGATTTTTTGTCAAAATTAGGATTTTCAAGATGGCGGATCCAATATGGCGAACGAGCTTTGTAATAAATAGTTGTTTGAAAAATCAATTGAACACGCGTTCGTAGATACTTAGTCGAATTAAGAAGAAGTAGAACATAAGTAGTATTTTAAAAAACTGACATATTTTGATAACTGGAAATTATTAAAACATGTCTAGAGATTTTGGGAAAGATTATATTTTCAGCCTGTGTTCAATCATTAGACTTTCGAAAATATTACTTTCAGAGTATATCCGTGTTCAATACTTCATCTTACATTTTGTATATTATATATCTTTTCCCCCCGTATAATTTCATCATCATTAGTCATAGATTTCCCCCCGCATAATTCCATTATCATCATATTTGTCATAGATAAATCATTTGTTCGGAAATTAATCGGTTAACAGCATGATTCAACTTATTAGTCATTCATTCGGGACCAGGTGGTAAATCAAGACAGTCTTATATTAGATGTCATCACGTACGGTCGAATTTTGTGATCGACATCGGAAAATACGCGAAAGGAATTATTTATCGTTCCAAACTGAGTGTTCCCTAAAAACTGAGTGATCGCATTGATTCGTATATAGTGTTTTTGTATTCCTCATTCGATTCAATAATAATAATATCGGGATCGTGTGTTGGTCTAGTGTTTCGTGTTGTTTCATCAAAGCCTCACTTTTTTCACGCTGGTGAGTGAAGAGAAATTCTCTCAATTTTTCCTCATATTTCTCTGTATTCATTTAACTTCATTACCCTATACAGGGTATGTCACGACGAGCTTACACTATCTTTAAATAGAGAATCAGTCGGGAGAAATCCATGAAAATGTGCATGCTTATATTTTGGTATACGCTCTTTTCATTTGAGATATATTCGACAATGCAGTGTTGCCGCTTCTACTAGAAAGTAGTAGCAACATTGATATTTCGAACGGAACACCCTGTATTTTATCTCATTTTAAGATTCTTCCTGAAGAGCTGATTTCAACGATATATCATACTTGGGGTCTATCAAGAATGATTACAGAGATATAGGGTGTTCAAAAGCGATATTTTTCAACTTTAGGATTTTTTTGTGTCGAAAATATTCATTATCGGTCAAAACGGCTCACATGTCCCTATCTCAACTTTTGTTTCACTATTTACTGATATTTAATCGGAACAGATACAGGGTGGTTCAAGATTCAGAATTCTGATCACATGCATATTTTCATGGATTTCTCCCGACTGATTCTCGATATAGAGATAGTGTAAGCTCGTCGTGACATACCCTGTATGTTTCGTACCGTTTGTTGTATTTTCTCCGATCAAGGAATACTTTCTTCTGATTTTCGTGCTTGGAAGGAATATTCAACTCATATTTCTCATCAAAACCAAATATGAATCGAATTTAGAATCCAGATCCGTCTTCAGGCAAAACAAAAAACTTCTTTTTTTAACAGTGCGCATCCAATTTGAAAAATAGAATTTTTATTGAACTCGTTATTGAAAAAATCCAATATTATTGCAAAAAAATAACCAGTCTTCAAATTTCAACTTGATAAGAGTCGAATTAGGTTAACTATCGATGGATTTCGTTCCATACAACAATTTTTCAATTATTTTAGATATTTTCGACTGTCATTACATTTTCACACACACAAATTAATCAAGTATTTTACACTCCTGAATTTTTGTACGTAGATTCATATTCCGAAATTATTTATTTCAGTATTGTCAGTAATTTTATATATATACAGGGTGTCCCAAAATTAGCCAGCCAAACTTCACCAGCGGCTCCTTCGACCAAAAATAGGAAGAAAAGTTCCAATGAACATGAGTCGAGAAATGTCTCCCAAGCGAGCTACGGCCCCCTGAAAAGGGGCTCCTGAAGATGATATTTCTTGAATATTTTCGAAACGCCACGTGATAAAATGATGCAATTTGGTACAAGAACTAAACTTACCATGCTCAATGCGGTGAACATAAAATCATTTCAAAGTTTCATTCAGGAGTGTATAATACAGGGTGGGACTACTTTAAATATTGCTCAAACTTTTTTGTATGCATATTTTTTGACAATTTAATCTCGGATTATGAAAATCTACACCATTTCACAAAAAAAGGTGCTCTTGTTTCGCATCGATCAGATGTATCATTTTCGAGTGAAATCGATTTAAAAATATTGATGCACTCACATTTTATGCATAACGTTGCTAATTTTCAAATCATAGTGGCTATAAAAAAAATAAAGTACTTTATTTTCACCAAATAATATCATAAAAGCGCGAAAAATAGGAAAATGATGATGAAAAAAGGACTTCAATTTTTGTGCATTTTTTTCCATTTCCACTACGCCTCATCCCAATGTTATTCAAAATATCCGAGATGTAACAATATTTTTAAATTGCTTTTACTCGATAATAATACATCTGATCGTCACGGAACAAGAGTACCTTTTTTCTGTAAAAAGGTGTGAAATTTCATAATCCGAGATTAAATTGTCGAAAAATATGCATACAAAAAATTTTGAGCAATATTTAATGTAGCCTCACCCTGTACCATACACTCCTGATTGAAATTTCGAAATAATTTCATTTTCACTGCATTGGGCATGGAAATTTAAGGTCTTGTACCAAATTGCATCTTTTATTTTTGTTCGTAAAAGCCGCTGGTGAAGTTTGGAAGGCTAATTCTGGGACACCCTGTATATTATACGTCTCCGAAGTTTTTGTGATTGTTTAACATCGGAGTTTTTTCATTTCATTTATATCTATCCATTTTGATTACTTTGTATATAAATATTTTACACTCTTGAATTTTTGTACCTACTTAGTTTTATATTCGAAAATTATTAATCTTAGTATTTTCAATAATACGTCGCCGTCAAACGGAATTCATACATCTTCACCACGTACAAGCAGCATTTGCTGCTTCTGTGGGTTTTCTAATGTAAGGAATTGAATGCTGAATAAAGCGAAAAGAAAAAAAATAGGGTTTCCATTTAAAATAAGAAAGTTGATGTTACTTCCGGTCAGACCGGAAGTTAACTTCAACATGTCAATATATGCTCAAATTCTAGCTCTTATGTCATTATATCGACGCTCCAAATTTCACAAACCTACTTCATACAATAACTGAGATATTCCGTAGGCAATACTTCCGTAGCCACCCGGTATACTGAAAGTACACACTATGACCAAGTGGACTCATCTTCGGTGATATACACTGCTTGCTAACAGCCATGGAACCATCCACAAAAATGAAATAGGCGAGTTGACTAATTTTTTGTATTTCTTAAATAGAATCATCACTCAAATAACTTTCAATTTCATATATTTTTAGAATCATTCATTCGATTTTAAGGTGCTGAGATATCAACAATAATGCCATGGTAACTTTCAAACGGCTAAAAATTTACCGCGAGTAAAAACTGACAGGGACAGACCATAGCACAGTTGCCATGTGTTGAAATACGATTGGAACTTAGGAAATATTAGCTTTTCAATAATTCATATATTCTCAATTTTGTATTGGTTATATTCCTAATTAGACATAAAAATCAATTGTCTCAAAATATTCCCACATCTGTTGTGGCTTATTGTTTATAATACATTTGTGTTAATATTAATATTATTATATTAATTCACACTAGAGGATATTTGAGGTAAAACGTGACAACCCGGAGCACGAATTGTGGGCGGTGCCTTGTCAGTTCTCAGCAT